AATGCTTCTGGAACATAGCCAGGCAGCCCGGAAAACTCACAGCAACCCAAACAAGAGTTCTTTCTCCTACCGTGGACATTATTCCACAGATATATTAAACCCACTTGCATAGTTTCTAATATACCTTACAATCTGAGGATGCCTGCCATAGGTGTGGGCAAAACATCAGGAGAGAATGCTTCTGGGACATGGCCAGACAGCCCGGAAAACTTACAGCAACCCAAACAAGAGTTCTTTCTCCCACGCTGGACATGATTCTGCTTGCATATTTCCAATAGACCTCACAACCTCTGAGGATGCTTGCCATAGATGTGGGTGAAACGTCAGGAGAGAATGCTTCTGGGACATGGCCAGACTGACCGGAAAACTTACAGAAACCCAAACAAGAGTTCTTTCTTCCACCCTGGACATTATTCCACTTGCATATTTCCAATAAACCTCACAACCTCTGAGGATGCTTGTCATAGATGTGGGCGAAACGTCAGGAGAGAATGCTTCTGGGACATGGCAAGACAGTCCGGAAAACTCACAGCAAATCAAACAGTTCTTTCTCACACCCTGGACATTATTCCACAGATATATAAAATCCACTTGCATATTTCCAATAGACCTCACAATCTCTGAGGATGCTTGCCATAGATGTGGGTCAAACGTCAGGAGAGAATGCTTCTGGGACAAGGCCAGATAGCCTGGAAAACTCACAGCAATGCAGTTATTCCGGCCAGGCAGAGGCGGCCCTAGGTAATTTTCAACTGTAAGCAAACAGTATTTTGGCCAACCAATCACTGATATATATTTTCTGTTCGTCGTGGGAGTTCTGTGTGCCATATTTGGTTCAATTCCATCATTGGTGGAGTTCAGCATGCTCTTTGATTTTAGGTGAACTATACATCCCAGTAACTACAACTCGCATATGTCAAGGTCTATTTTCCCAAGAGCGCCTCAAGAGCGCCCCTGGGCAAAATCAACTCTACCGCAAAGGCTTACTTTGCGTAATGGTTGAGCCGCCCCTGCAGCCAGGAAAGAGAAACGGAGAAGATGCGTGAGGGAAATGCAAGAAGGAAAGAAAGCTACGAAGAGGCTGCCCAAAGCAAAACGACTTTCTTCAATACAGTTTTGGAACGGCTTTCAACAGCTATTGTCAATGGGGGCTCAAGGTGTTTACCACCCTGCGCAGATTGGCTGCCTCTTCCTCCCGGTGTGTTCTTTCCTTTCGCAAGGACACTAATATCCCTAAAAGCAACCTTCCTCCCCAACTCCTGCCTCGCTCGCAAAGTAATTACAGCTCTTAAGAACATGCTGCCGGGGAATTCTTCTTTATCAGTCCCTCAATGGGTTCTGGCAAACGGCGCAGTGGCTGGAAATATTTATTTATTTACTTACTTACTTTGCTTCTATACCGCTGTATCTCAAGCCCGAAGGCGACTCACAGCGGTTCACAAACAGTAGAAACAGTAGAAACAGCAGTGGTTCCATACAACATATAACAATTGACTTAACACATTATCCATAAATTACCAATAAGCAATTACAATGCACAATTATTACAAAAAACAACCGTACCCAATCTTCTCATCATCCAAGCGTAGTCCAGGTTCGTCGTCCATTGTTCCATTCCTATGTTCCATTACCAGATTGCACTAAATTACTCAAACGCCTGCACAAACATCCAGGTCTTCACCTTTTTGCGGAATACCATTAGAGATGGTGCTAGTCTAATGTCCGTAGGAAGGGCGTTCCACAGCCGAGGAGCCACCACCGAGAAGGCCCTATCTCTCGTCCCCGCCAGCCGAGCTGGAGAAGCAGGCGGGATCGAGAGCAGGGTCTCCCCGGAAGATCTCAAACTCCTGGTGGGTTCATAGGCAGAGATGCGGTCAGATAGGTAGCTTGGGCCGGAACCGTTTAGGGCTTTAAAGGCCAACGCCAGCACTTTGAATTCAGCCCGGTAGCAGATCGGTAGCCAGTGGAGTTGGCGCAACAGGGGGGTTGTATGCTCCCTGCGCTCCGCTCCTGTTAAAATCATGGCTGCCGAGCGTTGGACTAGTTGGAGCTTCCGAGCTGTCTTCAAAGGCAACCCCACGTAGAGAGCGTTGCAGTAGTCTAAACGGGATGTAACCAGAGCGTGGACTACCGTGGCCAAGTCAGACTTCCCAAGGTACGGGCGCAGCTGGCGCACAAGCTTTAGCTGTGCAAATGCTCCCCTGGTCACCGCCGAAACCTGGGGTCCAGGCTCAGCGATGAGTCCAGGGTCACACCCAAGCTGCGAACCTGCGTCTTCAGGGGGAGTGCGACCCCATCCAACACAGGCTGTAACCCTATGCCCTGTTCGGCCTTCCGACTGACCAGGAGGACCTCTGTCTTGTCTGGATTCAGTTTCAATTTGTTCGCCCTCATCCAGACCGTCACAGCGGCCAAGCACCGGTTCAGGACCTGGACAGCCTCCTTAGTAGCAGGTGGAAGGAGTGACAGAGTTGGACATCATCCGCGTACAGATGACACCGTACCCCGAAACTCCGGATGATCTCCCCCAGCGGCTTAATGTAGATGTTAAACAACATGGGAGACAATATTGAGCCCTGAGGAACCCCACAAGACAATGGTTGTGGGGTTGAACAGGTGTCCCCCAACAACACCTTCTGAGATCGACCCTCCAGGAATGCTCGATGCCCTGTGATGCCTTTCCATCTTCCTTCTCCCTCCCACATCCATCTCTCAATGAAGGAAGAAGGAAAGGAGCCAGGATCAATAGGATTGATCTTGAGCCGAAACGTGGGCCGGGGTGATCCATTTAGGATGCATCCGAAGCAGGATAATGCGATTGCGAGCCAGATAACACTGCAGTTGGGGCTGGGAAGCACACCGCAGGGCCAAGTCGTGGCAATTCAACACAATTCCGCATCCTCAGAGATTCATAGATGAAAAGAGGGGTATAAGGAACCTGGGGGAAACTATACCAGCCGATCACCACTAATTATAAGGAACTTTGCAGGGAAAGGAATAGGGAATTTTAAAATAGTAATTCCCTCAAGCTGCTAAGCCAAGCAGAGAGTGGTCGGGCATCCGGACAATGTGGCCGGTCCAGCGGAGTTGATGGCGGAGGACCATCGCTTCAATGCTAGTGGTCTTTGCTTCTTCCAGCACGCTGACATTTGTCTGCCTGTTTTCCATTCTTGAGTTTGGAGTAGAGCAACTGCTTTGGGAGATGGTGGTCGGGCATCCGGGACAACGTGGCCAGTCTAGCGGAGTTGATGGCGGAGGACCATTGCTTCAAAGTGCTTTCAGTCTCTTTTCCTGCCCACCAACATTCCGTTTTCCATTCTTGAGTTCAGAGTAGAGCAACTGCTTTGGGAGAGGTGGTCGGGCATCCGGACAACGTGGCCAGTCCAGAGGAGTTGATGGCGGAGGACCATTGCTTCAATGCTGGTGGTCTTTGCTTCTTCCAGCACGCTGACATTTGTCTGCCTGTTTTCCATTCTTGAGTTTGGAGTAGAGCAACTGCTTTGGGAGACGGTGGTCGGGCATCTGGACAACGTGGCCAGTCTAGCGGAGATGATGGCGGAGGAGCATCGCTTCAATGGTGGTGGTCTTTGCTTCTTCCAGCACGCTGACATTTGTCTGCCTGTTTTCCATTCTTGAGTTTGGAGTAGAGCAACTGCTTTGGGAGATGGTGGTCGGGCATCCGGACAACGTGGCCAGTCCAGCGGAGATTATGGCGGAGGAGCATTGCTTCAATGCTGGTGGTCTTTGCTTCTTCCAGCACGCTGACATTTGTCTGCCTGTTTTCCATTCTTGAGTTTGGAGTAGAGCAACTGCTTTGGGAGACGGTGGTCGGGCATCTGGACAACGTGGCCAGTCTAGCAGCGGAGTTGATGGCGGAGGACCATCGCTTCAATGCTGGTGGTCTTTGCTTCTTCCAGCACTCTGACGTTTGTCCGCCTGTCTTCCCAAGAGATTTGCAGGATTTTCCGGAGGCAGCGCTGATGGAATCGTTCCAGGTGTTGCATGTGATGTCTGTAGGGAGACCAAGGTGCTTGTTGATAAAGCCATTCCCCTCCCAACCCTGCCATACACCTGCGAGATGTGGACTGTCTACAGACGTCACATGCAACTCCTGGAACGATTCCATCAGCGCTGCCTCCGGAAAATCCTGCAAATCTCTTGGGAAGACAGGCGGACAAATGTCAGTGTGCTGGAAGAAGAAGCAAAGACCACCAGCATTGAAGCGATGGTCCTCCGCCATCAACTCCGCTGGACCGGCCACGTTGTCCGGATGCCCGACCACCGTCTCCCAAAGCAGTTGCTCTACTCCGAAATCAAGAACGGAAAACGGAATGTTGGTGGGCAGGAAAAGAGATTGAAAGATGGGCTCAAAGCCAACCTTAAAAACTCTGGCATAGACACTGAGAACTGGGAAGCCCTGGCCCTTGAGCGCTCCAGCTGGAGGAGCTGTGACCAGCAGTGCTGCAGAATTTGAAGAGGCACGAGTGGAGGGTGAAAGAGAGAAACGTGCCAAGAGGCAGCCGCGTCAAGCCAAACCCAACAAAGACCGCCTTCCATCTCGAAACCGATGCCCTCACTGCAGGAGAAGATGCAGATCAAGAATAGGGCTCCACAGTCACCTACGGACCCACCGCCAGGACACTACACTTGAAGGACCATCATCCTCGGCCTACGAGGGATCACCTAAGTAAGTAAGTAAGTAAGTAAATACGTGACTTGCCTAGTTTCCAACAAACCTCACAACCTCTGAGGATGCTTGCCATAGATGTGGGTGAAACGTCAGGAGAGAATGCTTCTGGGACATGGCCAGACAGCCCGGAAAACTCACCGCAACCTAGACAAGAATTCTTTCTCCCACCCTGGACATTATTCCACAGATATATAAACTCCACTTGCCTAGTTTCCAACAAACCGCACAACCTCTGAGGATGCTTGCCATAGATGTGGGTGAAACATCAGGAGAGAATGCTTCTGGAACATGGCCAGAGAGCCCAGAAAACTCAATTTTCAACACCTTTTTTATTTTTTGTTGTGTCAAAACAGACAAGAGGAAACTTTGAACCACAACTATTGTGAGGTTTCTGGGGCATTTGTCCACATAATCTCATTTTCATTTGATCATAGAAGAGCTTAAGTAATGAGAAGAAGGCTGCAGGAGGAATTCCTTGGAGGCCGTCATGAGGTCCTGCCTGTACTTGGAGACCGATGGCACCTCTTGGCTGGTTCTCAAAAGCTCATTATTTTTGCGGGCTTCGTAGTGGAACTGAGAGTTTCGCATCTCATACCTAAAACAAAGCAAGTATGGATTTACACGGGCCATCAACAACATTGCAATTCCTTTACCTTTACCTACTCTATTATAAGGCGAGGATTTATTATTGTTATTACTACATTTATTATTTTACTCTATTTATTATTATTTGTTTACATCTATTATTTTACTCTATTTATTATTATTTTATTACATTTATTTTTTTACTCTATTATTATTATATTTATTATTTTACTCTATTAGTAGTATTAGTATTACATTTATCATTTTACGCTATTTATTATTATTTTATTACATTTATTATTTTACTCTATTATTATTATATTTATTATTTTAATCAATTATGTTTACATTTATTATTTTATGCTATTTATTATTATTGTATTACATTTATTATTTTACTCTATTATTATTATATTTATTATGTTACTCAATTATATTTACATTTTTTACTCTATTTATTATTATTTTATTACATTTATTATTTTACTCTATTATTATTATATTTATTATTTTACTCAATTATATTTACATTTTTACTCTATTTATTATTATTTTATTACATTTATTATTTTACTCTATTATTATTATATTTATTATTTTACTCAATTATATTTACATTTTTACTCTATTTATTATTATTTTATTACATTTATTATTTTACTCTATTATTATTATATTTATTATTTTACTCAATTATATTTACATTTTTACTCTATTTATTATTATTTTATTACATTTATTATTTTACTCTATTATTATATTTATTATTTTACTCAATTATGTTTACATTTGTTATTTTACTCTATTTATTATCCTTACATCACTTGAGATCTATTTATTAATATTACTACGTTTATTATTTTGCTCTACTATTATTGTTATTGTTACATTTATTATTTTATTCTATTTACTATTGTAATTAATGCATTTAATATTTTTATTATTACAATTATTATTTTACTCTATTTATTATTATATTTATTATTTTACTCAATCAATTATGTTTACATTTATTATTTTACTCTATTTATTATTATTTTATTACATTTATTATTTTACTCTATTATTATTATATTTATTATTTTACTCAATCACTTATGTTTACATTTATTATTTTACTCTATTTGTTAACTTTACATCACTTGAGATCTATTTATTAATATTATTACGTTTATTATTTTGCTCTATTATTATTGTTATTGTTACATTTATTATTTTATTCTATTTAATATTGTACTTAATGCATTTAATATTATTATTATTACAATTATTATTTTACTCTATTTATTATTATTTTATTACATTTATTATTTTACTCTATTATTATTATATTTATTATTTTACTCAATCACTTATGTTTACATTTATTATTTTACTCTATTTGTTAACTTTACATCACTTGAGATCTATTTATTAATATTATTACGTTTATTATTTTGCTCTATTATTATTGTTATTGTTACATTTATTATTTTATTCTATTTAATATTGTAATTAATGCATTTAATATTATTATTATTACAATTATTATTTTACTCTATTTATTATTATTTTATTACATTTATTATTTTACTCTATTATTATTATATTTATTATTTTACTCAATCACTTATGTTTACATTTATTATTTTACTCTATTTGTTAACTTTACATCACTTGAGATCTATTTATTAATATTATTACGTTTATTATTTTGCTCTATTATTATTGTTATTGTTACATTTATTATTTTATTCTATTTAATATTGTAATTAATGCATTTAATATTATTATTATTACAATTATTATTTTACTCTATTTATTATTATTTTATTACATTTATTATTTTATTCTATTTACTATTTGTACAGAAGTTGATTGTAAAGGATATGATTATAAACTGTATTGATTGTAAATGATATTATTATAACTGTATTTGTGTTTACACTGGTTGCCCTAATGCTGGAGCGGCCTAGCTGTGAGGAGTGTGTTACCATGGAAACGATGCTAATGCTGGAGCGGCCTAGCTGTGAGGAGTGTGTTACCATGGAAACAATGCTGTAGAGAAGTGGGAGGAGCTTAGAGAGAGGAGTTTTGAAAAGCGACAGTTAAAAGTTTGTTAGGTTTTATGCTCAGAGGAATGAAGAGTTAGGGTTTAGGCTCAGAAGAGTGCACAGTCCTGAAGAGTCAGGGTTGAGGCTCAGAGGAATGAAGAGTTAGGTTTAGGCTCAGGGAAGTGAAGAGTTGAGAGAGAGAGAGTGGGAAGTAGAGAAGCAGTGTTTGTGAATAGTCGGAGGTTTCTTCAGTTCGGGAAGGCTGAAGGGGAAACCTTATTAGTTTTATTAGTCAGAGAAGACTGATAGAAGCTCGTTTAGATCACTAGTTAAAAGTGAACTAGAGATCTGAGGTTTGATCACGGAAGGGTCAAACAGGAAGACTATTCACCTCAGGAACCATTGTTTAATAAAGTGCTTCACCACAGCAAAGGTTATTTATAAGTTGTAACATCAGAAGACTGAACTGTATCGCAACCAAGTTATATGTAACGTTCTCCAAGTATTTTCAAGTTTATCACCAAACTGCAACCATACGCTTTGTTTCAAAATAAACTTGTTCTCTTTGATTTTAAGACTGCCTCATCTCCATTAATTCTGCGTTTAGTGTGCCCAATCTCCCAAAATTACCTCACATCACCAAATTGGTGGCACCATTAAGGATAATAAATAAATAAATCGTAACTCCTCTCTCCTGAGACCTCCCTTACCGAATTTGGGGCCCGAGCTCCTTTCGCACTATTGTAATTAATGCATTCAATATTATTATTATTACAATTATTATTTTACTCTATTTATTATTGTTATTCCTACTATGCTTAATCTCGAGGGGAAACCTTTACCTTTACCTAAAGATCCGATACTCAGCTTCACCTTTTGAAAATTCTCCATTTACCATTTTGGTTTGGGTCCTCGGGTCCGCTCCAGTTCCTGCCGCCTCTTGAGCTCCAGCAACCAGGCTTCTTCCACACGCAGGCGCTCCAGGCGGAGACGAGCCAACTCTTGCTGGTACGGAGACATCTCGATCAGGGAGTTCCCAATGGCACTTTCAGCCAGAGTCTGAAGGAACCTGAATGGGACAAGACAGGCTTACACTTCCTAGTATAGATTCCAGAACAAGGTACTGGCTTGTTCAGTAGACTCTCCTCTACAGTTCCATTTTGGCGGGAAGCCTTAGCATTGAACGGTTGTGTTGTTAAAGTGAAAAGCAATGCCTCCACCTTCGTAACTCCTCAACAGATGGCCGTACTGGTATGCGGCAGGTACAACACAACCATATTTATAATATTATAATGTAATACAATATAACACTAATAATAATAATAATAATAATAATAATAATACAATATTGTAGTTATATGTTTTATATTACATGTAATATTACTAATTACTAAGCTTGGAACCCCAAGTTTCAGCGGTTTCCAGAGGAGCATTTGCACAGCTTCGGCTCGTGCGCCAGCTGCGCCCGTATCTTGGGAAGTCGGACTTGGCCACGGTAGTCCACGCTCTTATCACATCCCGCATAGATTACTGCAACGCGCTCTACGTGGGGTTGCCCTTGAAGACTGCCCGGAAGCTCCAGATGGTCCAGCGCTCGGCAGCCAGGTTGCTAACGGGAGCGGCACTCAGGGAGCACACTACTCCTCTGTTGAGCCAGCTCCACTGGCTGCCAATTTGCTACCGGGCACAATTCAAGGTGCTGGCTTTAGCCTATAAAGCCCTAAACGGTTCTGGCCCTACTTACCTCTCCGAACGCATCTCCACCTATGAACCGGCTAGGACGTTAAGATCGTCCGGGGAGGCCCTGCTCTCGGTCCCGCCAGCATCACAAGTGCGGTTGGCGGGGACGAGAGACAGGGCCTTCTCGGTGGTGGCCCCTCGGCTATGGAATGCCCTACCAGCTGACATCAGGCAGGCCCCTTCGTTACTGGCGTTTCGGAGGAGGGTTAAGACATGGCTCTTTGAACAGGCGTTCGGTTAATCATGCAATCATAACTAACTCAGGAAGACGGCATACTGAACAAGGAATGGTAGAATGACTGTGAGAACGGGATCTGATTCTATTTGAGGCGTTGATGACTATATGTGTGTTGTCTGTGATTGTCTGTTTATATATTGTCAGTGTTTTATATTTTACTGTAAACCGCATTGAGTCGCCGTAAGGCTGATAAATGCGGTATACAAAAGGAGTAAATAAATAAATAAATAAATAATTTCTCATGCCAGTAAGGTAATGCTCAAGATCCTGCAAGGAAGAAGACTCCAGCAATACATGGAGCGAGAGTTGACAGATGTTCAAGCTGGGTTTAGAAAAGGCAGAGGAACCAGAGACCAGATTGCCAATCTCCGGATGCTGGAGAATGGAGAAAGGCCGGGAGTTTCAGAAAAATATCTACTTCTGCTTCATTGACTATTCTAAAGCCTTTGACTGTGTGGATCATAATAAATTGTGGCAAGTTCTTAGTGGGATGGGCATCCCAAGCCCCTTCCCTCTCTCCTGAGGAATCTGTACAAGGACCAAGTAGCAACAGTCAGAACTGACCACGGAACAACAGACTGGTTCAAGATTGGGAAAGGCGTACGGCAAGGCTGCATACTCTCACCCAACCTTTTTAACTTGTATGCAGAACACATCATGCGAATTGTGCGGGGCTGGATGAATGCAAAGCTGGGGTGAAAATTGCTGGAAGAAACATTAACAACCTCAGATATGCAGATGACACCACTCTGATGGCCGAAAGCGAGGAGGAGCTGAGGAGACTTCTAATCAAGGTGAAAGAAGAAAGCGCAAAAGCCGGGTTGCAGCTAAACATCAAAAAAACCAAGATTATGGCAACAAGAATGATTGACAACTGGGAAATAGAGGGAGAAAACGTGGAGGCGGAGACAGACTTTGTATTTCTAGGTGCAAAGATTACTGCAGACGCAGACTGCAGCCAGGAAATCAGGAGACACTTACTTCTTGGGGAGAGCAATGTCCAATCTCGATAAAATAGTAAAGAGTAGAGACATCACACTGGCAACAAAGATCCAGCCTAGTCAAAGCCATGGTCTTCCCTGTAGTCACCTACGGATGTGAGAGCTGGACCTTAGGGAAGGCTGAGCGGAGGAAGAGAGATGCTTTTGAGCTGTGGTGTTGGAGGAAAGTGCTGAGAGTGCCTTGGACTGCGAGAAGATCCAACCAGTCCATCCTCCAGGAAATAAAGCCCGACTGCTCACTGGAGGGAAGGAGACTAGAGACAAAGTGGAAGTCCTTTGGCCACATCATGAGGAGACAGGAAAGCCTGGAGAAGGGAATGATGCTGGGGAAAGTGGAAGGCAAAAGGAAGAGGGGCCGACCAAGGGCAAGATGGATGGATGGCATCCTTGAAGTGACTGGACTGACCTTGAAGGAGCTGGGGGTGGTGACGGCCAACAGGGAGCTCTGGCGTGGGCTGGTCCATGAGGTCACGAAGAGTCAGAGATGACTGAACGAATGAACAACAACAATATTACTAATAATATTACAATATAATGGTATAGTACAATATAGTAATATTTAATACTGATATTGTACTATGTTAATAATATAAGTTATTGTATGCACACACACACACACATATATATATATATCTCCTGCAAGCCACTGAGTCCCCTTCGGGGTGAGAAGGATGGCATATAAATGTCATAAATAAAAAATCTATATCTATATAATAAAAAATGTTTGTATGTATGTATGTATGCGGAGGGTGGACGTGTATGTGGCAGCTTTCTGATTGGTTGCCACTGTGGTATTATTTGCATATGGTCTCTGATTGGACATCCTCAACATTCCAACATTCTGAGGTGACAGAGAGATGAGAGGTAAAGGCCTGAGGCTGTGGCAGCTATCTGATTGTTGCCACTGCGGTACAATTTGCATATGATCACTGATTGGCCAGCCTCACCATTCCAACATTCTGAGGTGGCAGAGAGAGGCGAGGTAATGGTCTGAGGGACTCACCTGGACCACACTTTGCACACATAACCCCCATGACCCCCTTTACGTCCTGGTGAGTTTTGGGGGATGACGGACAAAGGATTATGGGATTTGTACTACTTTCAAACCCTTCGGTTCCCACAGACCACTGTGGCCCCCAACAAAGATTGATAAAGACCAAACTTGGCACACAGAGCCCCCATGACCCACTCTATATCCTGGTACGATTTGAGGGAGGGCAGACAATGGATGATGGGACTTGGAGTACCTTTACTCTCTTCTTGAGAACACTGTGACCATTATCCAATGACCAATAAATAACAAATTTGGTACCCAGAGCCCCCATGAGCCACTCTACATCCTGCTACCTTTTGGAGGACGGACCATGGATGATGGACTTGAAGTACCTTCACTCACTTCTCGAGACCACTGACCTCATCCAATGACTGATCAAGACCAAACTGGGCACACAGAGCCCCATGACCCACTCTACATCCTGCTGCAGTTTGAAGGAGGATGGACCATGGATGATGGGACTACTTTCAGCACCTTCACTCACATCCTGAGACTACTGCGACCCTCACCTAATGACCGATAAAGACCAAACTTGGCACACAGAGCCCCCATGACCCACTCTACATCCTGCTACCTTTTGGAGGAGGACGGACCATGGATGATGGGACTTTCAGCACCTTCACTCACATCCTGAGACTACTGCGACCCTCACCTAATGACCGATAAAGACCAAACTTGGCACACAGAGCCCCCATGACCCACTCTACATCCTGCTACCTTTTGGAGGAGGACGGACCATGGATGATGGGACTTTCAGCACCTTCACTCACATCCTGAGACTACTGCGACCCTCACCTAATGACCGATAAAGACCAAACTTGGCACACAGAGCCCCCATGACCCACTCTACATCCTGCTACCTTTTGGAGGAGGACGGACCATGGATGATGGGACTTTCAGCACCTTCACTCACATCCTGAGACTACTGCGACCCTCATCCAATGACCGATAAAGACCAAACTTGGCACACAGAGCCCCCATGACCCACTCTACATCCTGCTACTTTTTGGAGGAGGACGGACCATGGATGATGGGACTTTCAGCACCTTCACTCACATCCTGAGACTACTGCGACCCTCATCCAATGACCGATAAAGACCAAACTTGGCACACAGAGCCCCCGGTCCCCAAGCTAGTAATAAATAAAAGGACTAGAGATATAGAGGGCACTGTGTATTAACAGCAGCTTATTTGCGTGGTTGGATATAAACAATGGCCAAGAACTCTCTTACCTTTCATTGAGTTCCTGGGCTGTAGGTGAGGAGATAGAAGCGGAAGGCAAACTGTATGGACTCCATCCATTGTGGAGGGTTCCCCTTGCCTTAGGAGACCAGGAGCTGGAGGCTAAAGTTCCTGACCTGCATATCCTTGCTTGTGGCTGCTTGCTCAACCTGCCTTTCTTCTGACTACTACTGGACTTGGAGAGCTGTGGCGCGGGCTGGGCACATGCGTTGGCCTTAGCTGAGGTGGGCCTCCACGCCGGCCTCGGAGACTGAGAGCGGGATCGGACCCAGTGAGCACGTTTGGTGGGTGGAGAGAATGACCGGCTGCGGATGGACCCAGAATGGTCAAGGCTCAGCGAGCGGCTTCTGGTTGGCGAGAAAGAACTCTGTTTTGGCCAGAGGCCTTTCACGGGGATTTCGGGGGGCAGCAAAGACTTGACGCCAATGACATGCGGAGAGCCAAGCTTCAAAGGTAAGGCGAGATCCATTGAGGGCCAGATATTCTGGCGTACGATCTCACTCCCCAGTAGCCCAGCCACCCGGTTCATTGGCGGCGTGGCAAAGGTTGGGAGGCCCAGGCTTGCTATCTCTGAAGGTCTGAGCAGATGCTTTGGCTTTAAGAACCACTCTGTCTCTGTGGATGACTTTGGTGGCTCTCCAATAGCAGAGTCCTCCACGCTCCCAGCAAGAGCCACTGGCCAACTGGAGCCAAAATGGCTGGAATCAGCAACAGACTCAAAGTGGAAAGGCCACTCTTGATTCAAACTGGAGGCCAAGCTGTCCACTTGGACCTTGAGTTTCTTCAGACTTTCTTCCAAGTTATCCATGGTGGACATCTCTGTGATGTGTAATTACCTATGTTGAAGGAAAAATCATTAATTTCAGTACAGAGTTTGCAAAATTCTCCAGCATTTTCCATAGACACCTCCAAGGTCGTGTGGCTGGCATAACCGCATGGAGCACCATTACCTTTACCACCAGAGCGATACCTATTGATCTACTCACATTTGCATGCATTCGAACTGCTAGGTTGGCAGAAGCTGGGGCTGACAGCGGAAGCTCACGCCGCTCCCCGGATTCGAACCTGCGACCTTTCATTTATTTTAGAATGTCTGAGAAGTGCTGGGAATTTCAGTCCACAACATACAGAAGGATGCATTGCTCATGTTCCCGTGCTTAGAAAATGGAAAATTGCCCAAGGGCAACTTTCTCTGACAAATCCAGAGCAGGCCATAGTCTGAACACAAGGTACCAAGATGAATGCTAGTCAACTGAATCCAAAATAAATTAATATTGATTCTAATGCTCTGGAGCCTAGAACACAATAAAGCAGTGGTTTCTAACCTTTTTTTTATTATTTTTTTTACCAGGGATCACTCTCCAACATCAGTACCAAAAGAGTTACAAATTAGTTTTGATCAACTTTAGATCTGGTCTGCTTATTTGGGATCCTGATTCAGAAAATTGCATTGGATAGACCACATCAGCTGATTCAGAAAACTGCATTGGATAGACCCTATTGGCTGATTCCGAAAAGTGCATTAGATAAACCACATTAGCTGATTCAGAAAACTGCATTGGATAAACCACATCAGCTGATTCAGAAAACTGCATTGGATAGAACACATCAGCTGATTCAGAAAATTGCACTGGACAGAGATAGACAGAGATAGACCACATCAGCTGATTCAGAAAATTGCATTGGATAGACCACATCAGCTGATTCAGAAAATTGCATTGGATAGACCACATCAGCTGATTCAGAAAATTGCATTGGATAGACCACATCAGCTGATTCAGAAAATTGCACTGGATAGACCACATCAGCTGATTCAGAAAACTGCATTGGATAGACCACATCAGGTGATTCAGAAAATTGTATTGGATAAACCACATCAGCTGATTCAGAAAATTGCATTGGATAAACCACATCAGCTGATTCAGAAAATTGCACTGGATAGACCACATCAGCTGATTCAGAAAACTGCATTGGATAGACCACATCAGGTGATTCAGAAAATTGTATTGGATAAACCACATCAGCTGATTCAGAAAATTGCATTGGATAAACCACATCAGCTGATTCAGAAAATTGCACTGGATAGACCACATCAGCTGATTCAGAAAATTGCATTGGATAGACCACATCAGCTGATTCAGAAAATTGCATTGGATAGACCACATCAGCTGATTCAGAAAATTGCATTGGATAGACCACATCAGCTGATTCAGAAAATTGCATTGGATAGACCACATCAGCTGATTCAGAAAATTGCATTGGATAGACCACATCAGCTGATTCAGAAAATTGCATTGGATAGACCACATCAGCTGATTCAGAAAATTGCATTGGATAGACCACATCAGCTGATTCAGAAAATTGCATTGGATAAACCACATCAGCTGATTCAGAAAATTGCACTGGATAGACCACATCAGCTGATTCAGAAAACTGCAGGACAAGAGATCCCACCTAAACATTGGAAAGAACTTCCTGAGAGTAAGAGCTGTTTTGCAGTGGGATATATACATTTGGATTCTCCTTCTCTGGAAGTTTTAAGCAGAGGCTAGATGGCTATCTGTCAGGGGTGCTTTGATGGTGTTTTCCCTGAATGGCAGGGGGTTGGACTAGATGGCCCATGTGGCCTCTTCCAACTCAATTATTCTATGATTCTATGAATGAATGGGAAGTCCCCCCAAGCCCCTCCCAAAGCGCCCCTTCCCACCTGAATGAAGGCCTGCCAAGCTCCAGCCAACTTCCCCGTAGCAACAGCCACAAACAAGTCCCCGTTGCTAAGGGGAAGGACCGCCTCCTTTCCTTCCCTCCCGCCCAAAAGGCATCTGAGCCGCGCATGCGCAGAACCAGACCCGCCCTTAGCAGAGGGTTGTAAACCTTTCCGCCAATCAGCGAGAGAGGAAGGCAGGGGAAAAGGAAGGTGGCTGCGCATGCGCAGAAATAGATCCGCGCGAAGGGAAATCCTTAGCAGAGGGTTCTAAACCTTTCCGCCAATCAGCGTGAGGAAAGAAGAAAGAAGGGACGTGACTGCGCATGCGCAGAACCAGATCCGCACGAAGGGAGAATTGTATCAGAGAATTGTAAACCTTTCCGCCAATGAGCGTGAGCGGAAGAAAAAGAGGCGTGGCCGCGCATGCGCAGAACTAGACCCTCAGTAGTTGATTGTTCAGAGGGTTCTGAGCGTGTGAGGAAGGAAAAGAGGCGTGGCCGCGCATGCGCAGAACCAGACCCGCACTTCAGAGGGGGATGGTTTGCAGAGGGTTCTTAATCTGGTCCGCCAATGAGCGTGAGAGGAAAGAAGGGGCGTGGTCGCGCATGCGTAGAACCAGATCCAGCACGAAAGGAGACGCTTAGCAGAGGGTTACAATGAGCGTGAGAGGAAGGAAAAGGGGCGTAGCCGCGCATGCGCAGAACCAGACCCGCACTTCAGAGGAGGATTGTTCGCAAAGGGTTGTTAATCTGGTTACAATGAGATTGAGGCAGGAAAAGGGGCGTGGCCGCGCATGCGCAGAACCAGATCCAGCACGACAGGAGATGCTTAGTAGACGGTTACAATGAGATTGCGAGGAAGGAAAGGGGGCGGGGTTGCGCATGCGCAGAACCAGATCCAGCATGCAGGGAGATGCTTAGCAGAGGGTTACAATGAGATTGAGAGGAATGAAAAGGGGGCGTGGCCGCGCATGCGCAGAACCAGATCCAGCAGGAATGGAGATGCTTAGTAGAGGGTTACATTGGGATTGCGAGGAAGGAAAGGGGGCGTGGCCGCGCATGCGCAGAACCAGATCCAGCTTAGAGGGTTACAATGAGATTGAGGCAGGAAAAGGGGCGTGGCCGCGCATGCGTAGAACCGGATCCAGCTTAGAGGGTTACATTGGGATTGCGAGGAAGGAAAGGGGGCGTGGCCGCGCATGCGCAGAACCAGATCCAGCAGGAATGGAGATGCTTAGTAGAGGGTTACATTGGGATTGCGAGGAAGGAAAGGGGGCGTGGCCGCGCATGCGCAGAACCAGATCCAGCTTAGAGTTACATTGGGATTGCGAGGAAGGAAAGGGGCGTGGCCGCGCATGCGCAGAACCAGATCCAGCTTAGTAGAGGGTTACATTGGGATTGCGAGGAAGGAAAGGGGGCGTGGCCGCGCATGCGTAGAACCAGATCCAGCACGAAGGGAAATGCTTAGCAGAGGGTTACAATGAGCGTGAGAGGAATGAAAAGGGGCGTGGCTACGCATGCGCAGAACCAGATTTGCAGGGAAAGGCGATACTTAGAGGTGTGTTGTAAATCTTTCCGCCAATCAGCGTCAGAGGAAGGAACAAGGGGCGTGGCCGCGCCTGCGCAGAACAGACGGAGGCCGGAAGAGGCGGGGCTGCGCCTGCGCAGAAGGGAGGGAGCGTGCTCCGCGTGTCTGAGGGAAATTTTTTCCGGTGCCTGCCGGTGAAGGAAGTGCCTTCATGTCGTGGCTCTTCGGCCTGAACCGCGGAGGGGGAGGCGGCGGAGGCGGCGACGCTTCTTCTTCCCCGGGCCTCCCTCCGCTGCCTCCTCCGCCTTCGGGATCCTCCTCCGGGGAAGGCGCCGGGGAGGCGGGCCGGCCCAAGGACAAATGGAGCAACTTCGACCCCACCGGCCTGGAGCGCGCCGCCAAGGCCGCCAGGGAGCTCGACGCCTCGCGTGAGTCCAGTCATGCGGTCTCTCTTGGGGGGAGGTCACACTCTCCCTGCTTGTGGGTGAACTACAACTACAACCCCTGTAAATGTCGTAAAGAAACAAACAATCCCACACCAGTGGAGAGAGTAAGGAACACTGGGGTGCCTGTGGTGGAGGAAACACATAAAACCTAGGATGAAATTGTCCCATAAATCCCTCCAAAGACACCCAATATTTTTGTTTGTGTGCCAAGTTAATACCAGGTCCATCGTTGGTGGAGTTCATAGAATCAAAGCATCCAGTCCAACCCCATTCTGCCAAGAAGCAGGAATATCAAATCACTCCTGACAGATGGCCATCCAGCCTCTGTTTAAAAGCTTCCAAAGAAGGAACCTCCATGACACTCCAGGGCAGAGAGTTCCACTGCTGAACGGCTCTCACAGTCATAGAATCCTAGAATCCTAGAAGAGTTGGAAGAGACCTCCTGGGCCATCATCCAGTCCAACCCCATTCTGCCAAGAAGCAGGAATATTGCATTCAAATCACCCCTGACAGATGGCCATCCAGCCTCTGTTTCAAAACTTCCAAGGAAGGAGCCTCCACCATGCTCCACGGCAGAGAGTTCCATTGCTGAACGGCTCTCACAGTCATGTTCAGATGGAATCTCCTTTCTTGTAGTTTGAAGCCATTGTTCCATTGCGTCCTAGTCTCCAAGGAAGCAGAAAAGAGCTTGCTCCCTCCTCCTCCCTGTGGCTTCCTCTCACATATTTATACATGGCTATCATATCTCCTCTCAGCCTTCTCTTCTTCAGGCTAAACATGCCCAGCTCCTTAAGCCGCTCCTCATAGGGCTTGTTCTCCAGACCCTTGATCATTTTAGTCGCCCTCCTCTGGACACATTCCAGCTTAGAGTCAATATCTCTCTTGAATTGTGGTGCCCAGAATTGGACACAATATTCCAGGTAAAGTGGTCTAACCAAGGCGGAATAGAGCATGGGGAGCATGACTTCCCTAGATCTAGACACTAGGCTCCTATTGATGCAGGCCAAAATCCCATTGGCTTTTTTTGCCGCCACATCACATTGTTGGCTCATGTTGAACTTGTTGTCCACGAGGACTCCAAGATCTTTTTCACACGTATTTCTCTCAAGCCAGGCCTCCCCCATTTTGTATCTTTGCATTTCGTTTTTCCTGCCAAAGTGGAGTATCTTGCATTTGTCACTGTTGAGCTTCATTTTGTTAGTTTTGGCCCATCATCTCTCTAATCTGTCAAGATCGTTTTGAATCCTGCTCCTGTCCTCTGGAGTATTGGCTCTCCCTCCCCATTTGGTCCCGTCTGCAAACTTGATGATCCTGCCTTCTGACCCTTCATCTAAGTCATTAATAAAGATGTTGAACAGGACCGGGCCCAGGACGGAACCCTGCGGCACTCCGCTTGTCACTTCTTTCCAGGATGAAGAGGAAGCCTTGGGGAGAATCACCCTCTGGGTTCGTCCATTTAACCAATTCCAGATCCACCTCACCGTAGTTTTGCCTCGCCCACATTGGTCTAGTTTCCTTGCCAGAAGGTCATGGGGGACCTTGTCAAAGAAGGCCTTCCTGAAATCCAGACACGCTACATCCACGGCATCATTCCCCGCATCTACCCAGCTTGTAACTCTATCGAAAAAAGAGATCAGATGAGTCTGGCATGACTTGTTTTTGATAAATCCATGTTGACTCTTAGCAATGACCGCATTTGTTTCTAAGTGTTTGCAGACCACTTCCTTAACAATCTTTTCCAGAATTTTTATTTATTTATTTATTTACTGCATTTATTGACCGCCGCTCTCAGCCCTAGGGCGACTCGCGGCGGTGCACAACATATAAAAACAGTTTACAAAAAGGGCAAAACAGGGAATCAATACAACAATAATACACTATAATCTAGTTACACTAAATAATCCGCTCCGTCACATCATAGAATCATAACCAATATCGTAATCCATATTCCGTTCCAGTTGTCAATTACCAGTTGCCGTAGCGCTCAGTTGAATGCCTTCTCAAATAACCAGGTCTTCAGGCTCTTACGGAAGGACAGAAGGGAAGGCGCCTGTCTGATGTCAGCAGGGAGGTCGTTCCACAGCCGGGGGGCCACCACCGAGAAGGCCCTCTCTCGTCCCCGCCAGACGTGCCTGTGAGGCAGGCGGGATCGAGAGAAGGGCCTCCCCAGACGATCTCAAAGTCCTCGTGGGCTCATAGGCCAAGATGCGGTCCGAGAGGTATTTTGGGCCGGAACCGTTTAGGGCTTTGTAGGAACACCAGCACCTTAAATTGGGCCCGGTAGCAAATCGGCAGCCAGTGGAGCTGGAACAGCAAGGGCGTTGTATGCTCCCTGCGTCCCGCTCCTGTTAGTAACATGGCTGCCGCGCGCTGGACTAGCTGAAGCTTCCGGGCCGTCTTTAAGGGCAGCCCCACGTAGAGAGCGTTGCAGTAGTCAAGGCGGGATGTGACCAGAGCGTGTACCACCATGGCCAAGTCAGAATCTTGCCTTCAGAGTGCTTTTCAGTTGAACTATAATTCCCAGTACCTACAACTGCTATAAATCAAGATCAGTTCAATGTGGGATTTTAATCAGCTGTGTGGACGGGCCCAGAATTGAAAAAAGTAGGGAAGGGTGGGTGGGGTCATGCTAATAATAATAATAATAATAATAATAATAATAATAATAATAATAATAATATATTATAATTATATTACATGTAATATTACAATATAATGGTGTAGTACAATATAGTAATATATAATACTGATATTGTGCTGTGCTAAAAATCTATATTGTATGTATATATATCTTGTAAGCCGCTCTGAGTCCCCTTTGAGGTGAGAAGGGTGGCATATCAATGTCGTAAATAAATAAAGAACTTTAGAAACTATAACTCCCATGATAACTCTAGCTTTGCAAGGTTTTCCGCCTTTGCAGCAAAAGAGTGCTCGTGCCTCACTAGACAACCGTACCCATGATCTAGTCATTGAATGAATGAGAAAGTCAGAGTCACATGAGGGCTGAAGGTTCAAAGGTCAGCTCTCACTGATGCAATCTACTGCAGGGGAAATGCAAGTTGGTAGCTCAAAGTTAGACAACAGAAAGGTATCTTTAGACAGACGTTCTCAGTTGCTTTAGAGTCTGACTCTTCTATTCTAGCTGTTGCACTCCAGATCAGGAAAAAGCCCTCGGACTTTAAAACACACCCCACGATGAGTGAAGAAACAAATCCTCTTTTATTGAAGCTTAGTAAATAGCCAGAAGAAATAAATGCTTGTAAGGAAATAAGAAGGTTCCAAAAAGTAATAAGTCAGTAAAATGCAGTAGCACAAAGCAATGTCCACACAAGTTATAAAAGCAGTTTCAAGGCAGTGTTTATCCAGGCAGGAAGCACAGACAATCCAAAAGGCTAAAATTCTCCACATGAACAAGACCCCTTGAACAGGATTTCCATGGCACATGAACTTGAGTTCCAAACGATGCCTGATCTAACAGGTTTTCCCTTGAAGCAAACCTTATATCCCAAACCCCAGAAATTGGTTTTGGTGGAAGGAAGGAAAAAAGGGAGGAAGAACAAAAAGGTGGGAGGGAGAAAGAGGGAAAGGAAGAGAGGGAGGAAAGCGAAGGAAGGAAGGAGAAAGAGGGAGAGAAGGAAGGAGGGTGGAAAGGGGAGGATGAAAGGGAGGAAAAGGAAGATGGAAGGGAGGGAGGAAATAAGGAAGTAAGGGAGGACTAAAGGGTGGAATGGAGGGAGGGGGAAAGAAGGGAGGAAGGAAAGACATAAGGGAAGGAAGGAGAAAGAGAGAGAGGGAAGGAGGGTGGAAAGAGGGAAGAAAGGATGAAAGGGAGGAAAAAAAGATGGGAGGGAGAAAGTAAAGAGAGAAGGAAGGGGGGACCAAAGAGTGGAAGGGAATGGAGGGAGGGAGAAAGAGGGAGAGGGGAAGGAAGGGAGGAAGGAAAGCGAAGGAAGGAGAAAGAGGGAGAGAGGGAAGGAGGGTGGAAGAAAGGAGGAAAGGGAGGAAAAGAAAGATGGAAGGGAAGGAGGAAGTAAAGAGAGACGGAAGCAAGGGAGGACCAAAGGGTGGAAGGGAATGGAGGGAGGGAGAAAGAGGGAGAGGGGAAGGAAGGGAGGAAGGAAAGCGAAGGAAGGAGAAAGAGGGAGAGAGGGAAGGAGGGTGGAAGAAAGGAGGAAAGGGAGGAAAAGAAGGAAGGGAAGGAGGAAATAAAGAGAGAAGGAAGCAAGGGAGGACCAAAGGGTGAAAGGGAATGGAAGGAGGGAGAAAGAGGGAGAGGGGAGGGAAAGAGAAGGAAAGAAAGACAAAAAGGAAGGAAGGGGAGAGAGGAAAGGAGGGTGGAAAGAGGGAAGGAAGGATGAAAGGGATGAAAAGAAAGATGGAAGGGAAGGAGGAAGTAAAGAGAAAAGGAAGGAAGGGAGGACCAAAGGGTGGAACGGAATGGAGGGAGCGAGAAAGAGAAAGAAGAAAAGACAAAAGGGAAGGACGAAGAAAAATGGAAAGGGAAGAAGGCAGGAAAAAGGGAAGGAAGGATGGAAGGAGAAAGAAGGACAGAAGGAAGGAAAGAGAGAAGGAAGGATAGGATAGTGAGAGAGAGAAGGGCCTGAGAAAAGAGCCCAAGGGACCACATCCGTTCCCAGGGCCTGGGTTTGCCCTTACCTGTGTGTAAGTGTGTGTGTGTGTATAAGTGTGTGGAAAAGCAAGCTTTGGATGAGTTTTGCTGCCTGAGATTTCGCCTCACTTTTTGTCCCTGTGAGAATTGTTCTTGACTAGGAGTCGTTTGTAAGTCGGGTGTTTGTAACTCGGGGACTGTCTGTAATGAGCGTCACGCCTTTACACGCTCAAAGCCTGAACAGCTTTGATATTTGGGGTGGACAACTTCTCTGCCTTCCAGCTTGGGAAGTCTTGTTCCCCAGTAGGTTGTGATTTAGACTCAAATGGTCTGAAGGGGTCCCCCACTTGCCTCGCAAAGGAGTGTTGAATTGTGTGTGTGTGTCTCTTTCCCTCCTCTTCAGGACATGCCAAAGAGGCCCTCAACATGGCACAGTTGCAGGAACAGACCCTCCAGCTAGAGCAGCAGACCAAACTCAAGGTGAGCTAAGCTTTTGGGGTCCAAACTATCTTCTTAGATAATTATAACCCATTTGTTTTTGGTATTTTGTGGAGTCTTAACTCTGCGTTTATTTACTGTATATACTCAAGTATAAGCCTAGTTTTTCAGCCCCTTATTTAGGTTAAAAAGGTTCCCCTCGGCTTATACTCGAGTCAAGGTTATTTATTATTTTACTCTGCTATTAGTATTATTTTTAGTACATTTATTATTTTACTCTATTATTGTTATTAAATTTCCATTATTTACTCTATTATTATTATTATTATTATTATTATTATTACATTTATTATTTTACTCTATTACTGTTATTAAATTTCCATTATTTACTCTATTTTTATTATTATTACATTTATTATTTTACTCTATTACTGTTATTAAATTTCAATTTTTACTCTATTATTATTATTATTAATAATAATACATTTATTATTTTACTCTATTACTGTTATTAAATTTCAATTTTACTCTATTATTATTTTATTATTATTATACATTTATTATTTTACTCTATTACTGTTATTAAATTTCTATTATTTACTTATTATTATTATTTTATTATTACATTTATTTTACTCTATTACTGTTATTAAATTTCCAGTATTTACTCTATATTATTATTATTACATTTATTATTTTACTCTCTATACTGTTATTAAATTTATTATTTACTCTATTATTATTATTATTATATTATTACTATTTATGTTATATTTATTATTATATATTATTATTATTATTACATTTATTATTTTACTCTATTATTATTATTATTACTATTATTATTTTAGTACATTTATTATTTTACCTATTACTGTTATTAAATTTCCATTATTACTCTATTATTATTATTATTACATTTATTATTTTACTCTATTACTGTTATTAAATTTCCATTATTTATTAATAATAATAATAATACATTTATTATTTTACTTTATTACTATTATTAAATTTCCATTATTTACTCTATTATTAATAATAATAATACATTTATTATTTTACTTTATTACTGTTTTTAAATTTCCATTATTTGCTCTATTATTATTATTATTACCTTTATTATTTTACTCTATTACTGTTATTAAATTTCCATTACTCTATTATTATTATTACATTTATTATTTTACTCTATTACTGTTATTAAATTTCCATTATTTACTCTATTATAATTATTAATAATACATTTATTATTTTACTTTATTACTGTTATTAAATTTCCATTGTTTACTCTATTATAATTATTAATAATACATTTATTATTTTACTTTATTACTGTTATTAAATTTCCATTATTTACTCTATTATTATTATTACCTTTATTATTTTACTCTATTACTGTTATTAAATTTCCATTATTTGCTCTATTATTATTATTACATTTATTATTTTACTCTATTACTGTTATTAAATTTCCATTATTTACTCTATTATTATTATTATTACATTTATTATTTTACTCTATGTATTATTATTATTACCTTTACATTATTTTACTGTACTATTATTTTTATTAAATTTATTTTTTATTCTATGTATTATTATTATTATTATTATTATTATTATTATTATTACATTTATTATTTTACTCTATTATTATTGGAAGGATACGTAAGCACATTTACATTGAGGAAGGTTAGCATAATGGTTTGGACAGTTGGACAGTCTAATCTTAAATTACAGTTTTATGTAAATACACAAAAACATTTAACCTATTGAGGATTATCAGTAGCATCTGCATTTCTCGCCCTCAGCTTATACTCAAGTCAATACATTTTCTCAGTTTCTTGTAAAATTAGGTGCCTTGGCTTATATTCGGGTCGGCTTATACTCGAGTATATATGGTATTTATTTATTTGCAGCATTTGTATTCTGCCCTTCTAGCCCCGCAGGGGACTCAGGGCGGATCACAATGCACATATATATGGGAAACATTCAATGCCATAGACACACAACATATATAGACTGAGACACAGAGACTATTTAACTTTCCAGCTTCATGAGGATATGCTCTTTGAATTCCGGCCACCAGGGGAGCTGTCGCTTCACTATTCACTTCTGACACCGATGGAGTACTTCCTCATTCTTTTGCACATTGCTGGAGAGTTTTATGGTGTCGTAAATTACTGTATATACTCGAGTATAAGCCTGGTTTTTCAGCCCCCTTTTTTAGGCTGGAAAAGCTTCCCTCAGCTTATACTCGAGTCAAGGTTATCTATTATTTTATTCTATTATTAGTATTATTTTTATTTCATGTATTTTTATTACATTTACAGTATTTTACTCTATTATTATTATTATTATTACATTTATTATACTTTATTATTATTGCACTTATTATTTTACTCTATTATTACTGTTATTACTGCATTTCCATTATTTTACTTTATTATTATTATTATTATTACATTTACTCTCTTATTGTTGGAAGGATACGTAAAAATACATTTACATTGAAGAAAATTAGAATAATTATTTAATCAGAGTTGAGCAGTCTTATCTCAAATTACAATTTTATGTAAATATTCAACACCATTTCACCTCCTGATACCTCAATTAATGTAATTTTATTGTTATCTATTTTTATTTTGAAATTTACCAGTAGCAGCTTCATTTCTCACCCTCGGCTTATACTTGAGTCAATATGTTTTCTGCGGTAAAATTAGGTGCCTCGGCTTATATTCGGGTCAGCTTATACTCGAGTATATGCAGGTAGTTAAATTGGCTTCCCCGCATAAGCGATACCTAAATTTCCTACTTGACAGATGCAACTGTCTTTCGGGCTGCAAAGGTTGACAGCAAGCTAGACAAATGGTCGGAAGCTCACTCCGACCCAGGCTGGCATCGAACTCATGACCTTTTGGTCAGTAATGATTAAATGCAGTTAGCTCCCCAGCTGACTGTGCCCCGGCCCGGTCCTTAACAATATAATACTACTAATAATATGATATAATGAGGTATAATGGGGTGAGATAATATAATATATTGTATTTACTTTGTACTTGTAAGCTGCTCTGAGTCCCTTTCGGGGTGAGAAGGGCGGCATATAAATGTTGTAAATAAATAAAAATATTAAAAAATATTATAGTACAATACAGTAATATATAATATTAATATTGTGCTATGGAAATAATATAATATATTGTATTTACTTTGTACTTGTAAGCTGCTCTGAGTCCCTTTCGGGGTGAGAAGGGCGGCATAGAAATGTTGTAAATAAATAAAAATATTAAAAAAATATTATAGTACAATACAGTAATATATAATATTAATATTGTGCTATGGCAATAATATAATATATTGTATTTACTTTTTACTTGTAAGCTGCTCTGAGTCCCTTTCGGGGTGAGAAGGGCGGCATAGAAATGTTGTAAATAAATAAAAATATTAAAAAATATTATAGTACAATATAGTAGTATATAATATTAATATTGTGCTCTGGCAATAATATAATATATTGTATTTACTTTGTACTTGTAAGCTGCTCTGAGTCCCTTTCGGGGTGAGAAGGGCAGCATAGAAATGTTGTAAATAAATAAAAATATTAAAAAATATTATAGTACAATACAGTAATATATAATATTAATATTGTGCTATGGCAATAATATAATATATTGTATTTACTTTGTACTTGTAAGCTGCTCTGAGTCCCTTTCGGGGTGAGAAGGGCAGCATAGAAATGTTGTAAATAAATAAAAATATTAAAAAATATTATAGTACAATACAGTAATATATAATATTAATATTGTGCTATGGAAATAATATAATATATTGTATTTACTTTGTACTTGTAAGCTGCTCTGAGTCCCTTTCGGGGTGAGAAGGGCGGCATAGAAATGTTGTAAATAAATAAAAATATTAAAAAATATTATAGTACAATACAGTAATATATAATATTAATATTGTGCTATGGAAATAATATAATATATTGCATTTACTTTTTACTTGTAAGCTGCTCTGAGTCCCTTTCAGGGTGAGAAGGGCGGCATAGAAATGTCGTCAATCAATCAATCAATCAATCAATAAAATTTTACTTAACGTTGGAAAGAATGCCTCTCCAGACCGGACCTGAAATAGTCCCGAGAGGTCCCTGACACGTGTTCTCTTTGAGAATAACTTCAATGCTGGTCAAACGGACGGCTTATTTTCCCTTCCGTCTTTCCTCCTAGGAGTATGAGGCTGCCATAGAGCAACTGAAAAACGAGCAGGTCCGGATACAAGCGGAAGAGAGAAGGAAAACGCTGAGTGAAGAGACAAGGCAACAGCAAGCAGTAAAGTGGGCTTTTCTGGTCATGTCGGGGGGCAAAAACAGAGGTGTAAATAAGCAAAATCCACCCTCCTTCCAAGTTTAGCTTGCCAAATAATAATAATAATAATAATAATCTATATAAATAAAAATGTCATGTTCGTTTGTGGGATTAACAGAACTCAAAAACCACTGGACGAATTGACACCAAATTTGGACACAAGACCTAACAACCCAATGTATGTCCTTCACTCAAAAAATGATTTTGTCATTTGGGAGTTGTAGTTGCTGGGATTTATAGTTCACCTACAATCAAAGAGCATTCTGAACCCCACCGACAATAGAATTGGACCAAACTTGGCACACAGTTTTCCTATGACCAACAGAAAATACTGGAAGGGTTTTGTGGGCAGTGTCCTTTGGTTTGGGAGTTGTAGTTCACCTACATCCAGAGAGCACTGTGGACTCAAACTATGATGGCTCTGGACCAAACTCTACACGAATACTCAATATGCCCAAATGTGAACACTGGTGGAGTTTGAGGGAAATAGAATCTTGACATTTGGGAGTTGTAGTTGCTGGGATTTCTAGTTCACCTAAAATCACAGAGCATTCTGAACCCCACCGATAGAATTGGGCCAAACCTCCCGCACAGAACCCCCATGTGGGCCACAGCAACGCGTGGCAGGGGACGGCTAGTAATAATAATAATAATCTTTATTTATACCTCGCCACCATCTCCCCAATGGGGACTCAGGGTGGCTTACATGAGGCCGAGCCCAATCAACAAATTACAGCAAAAAAATCCAAAAACACAAGCAACAAAGAACATCATAATTACATAAAACATATGAATACATTAATGATATAAGATTACAATAAACACAGTCACAGTGACAATGGCCGGGCTACATATATAATATAATATATTGTATATACATATAATATTTATAATATTATAATGTCATGCAATATAATAATAATAACAATATGATATTATAATTATATATTTAATTACATGTAATATTACTAATATTATGATATAGTGGTACGGTGCAATATAGCAATGTTTAATGCTTATTTTATTTATCATGTTAGTATCATCCAGACAATGTCTGGTTGATGTTTAATTCTGATATTGTACTATGCTAATAATATAATATATATTGTATGTATATATATTTTGTAAGCCGCTCTGAGTCCCCTTTGCGTTGAGAAGAGCAGCATATAAATGTGGTAAATAAATAAATAAATGGAACAATGGCTCCAAAATACGAGAAAGGAGTTTCTACCTGAACATTGGGGAAAACTTCCTGATTGTGAGAGCCGTTCAGCAGTGGAACTCTCTGCCCCAGAGTGCGATGGAGGCTCCGCCTATGGAGAGTTTTAAACAGAGGCTGGAGCCCCCGGTGGCACAGTGGGTTAAAGCCCTGTGCTGGCAGGACTGAAGACCAACAGGTCGCAGGTTCGAATCCCGGGAGAGGCGGATGAGCTCCCTCTATCAGCTCCAGCTCCTCATGCGGGGACAAGAGAGAAGCCTCCCACAAGGATGACAAAACATCAGAAATCATCCGGGCGTCCCCTGGGCAACGTCCTTGCAGACGGCCAATTCTCTCACAACAGGAGCGGTTGCTCCTGACACGACAAAAAAAAACAAACAGAGGCTAGATGACCATCTGTTTGGGGTGCTTTGAATGTGATTTTCCTGTTTCTTGGCAGAATGAGGTTGGACTGGATGGCCCACGCGGTCTCTTCCAACCCTAACCCTAGCCTAACCTGGCTAATGTCGGGTCACCATTCCCGCACACCGAACACATACAGACATTTCATGGACATCAGGAAGAACTTCCTGACTGTGAGAGCTGTTCAGCAGTGGAACTCTCTGCCCCGGAGTGTGGTGGAGGCTCCTTCTTTGGAGGTTTTTAAACAGAGGCAGAGGCTGGCCATCTGTCGGGGGTGCTTTGAATGCAATTTTCCTGCAGAATGGGGTTGGACTGGATGGCACACGAGATCTCTTCCAACTCCATGATTCTATGATTCAGAGTTCAGTTTGGACCTGGTTCCATCGTATTCTTGTCTTCAGATAACATGTTTTTAGGACATATATTGGAAACAAATATCTATTTAAGTTTATCCTTTTTTTCTTCACAGAGGGCACAATATCAAGACAAGTTGGCCAGGCAGCGGTATGAGGACCAGCTAAGGCAGCAGGTGAGGGCATCTCCTTGCAGGAAATACACCTGAGTTGCTTGCCATAGTCAAGATAATAGCAAAAGGTCGAGGGAAGAGTAATCCTGTCGTCTAAATACACCAGAATCCATAGTAAACATCACTGAATAATAATAATAATAATTATTATAGAAATTAAGAGAATAAAAAACCCAGTGTTGGGAAATGTACTAGGGATTTGGAATAGATACAAGGAAATATTATTATCAGGAAGTTCAACACTAACACCAATAATAATGGATCGAAAATTCCCCAAAAAATAAAAAAATATATTAGATAAAAAATTAAGAGAGAAGAATATAGATGAAACTGGAGATTGGATAAAAGAAAACACGAGGAAAGAAATTATATTGAGAGAATTTAGAGATATTAAACTGTCGGAACCCAGGTGCCTTAAAGAGCCAGACTCAGGAATATGTCCAAAAAATAGTTTATTAATTCAAAACAAAAGAGACTCGGAGATACTTGCTTCAGTTCCTCAGGTCAAAACTCAAAAGTAGCAGCAATTATTAGATTGAAAAGCAAACTAAAGCAATAATCCGGATTATCCAGGCAAAAAATCCGGATTAAACTGGAGTACTTCCAAAACCCCGCAAAATCACACAGCAAGTGGAAGACAATCAAACAAAGAGCCGTGAAGAAGAGCCGTCGTCTAAATGAAGTCCGAAGTCGGAGAAAGCCAAGTCCAAAGTTGCGAGGTTCCAAAGTCCACAAGGCAGCGTCGTCGTCAAAAGCAGTCCGAAGTCAAGGAGAGGGGAAATCTGCACTTACGAGAATCCAAGTTGCTACACGAAGGTAAACAGCAACCTGCAGATCCAGGACCCAAGCCCAACACAAAAGCGACAAGACCCAAGGCACGAAACCAACACTTTGCCTACTGCAAAGTTCTATCATTCCAGTGCCTTCATTTATCTTACAGCTCATCATCCAATGATGAGCTGCCCCCCCCCACCCCATCCTCATCACTCTCAGCTGGTTTAGCCTCCACAGCTGAGCGCCAACGCCCATCTCTCCAACTCTTCCACCTCTTCTCAAGACTTAGGTCTCCCATGATTCTACAGTATCACCCGATTGCTAATCCCCTCCTCCAGAAAACCCTGCAAGCGTGTCACTAGACGTTGGTTGAGTACACACATCTTGAACCTTTTGCACCTTGGTCCAATCCAGTGGTTCATCCTCATCCCCGTCACTCCCAGACCCACCATTCCCAGAAAAACCCATGAAATCCTCTTCTTCCATGGGAGCAGTAAATATATCCTGGATCTTCTTTCTCTGACATTCCTCATCCGATTCCTGCTCCTGAGTAACCCTCTTAGTTCCCCTATTCACCACTCACCTTCTTGAGTGGTGATTGCATGATCATCAGCGTAAATGAAACTCTGAAGTAAAGATGAAGTACTTTGGCCACATAGACTACTGCAATGCTCTCTACGTGGGGCTGCCCTTGAAGACGGCCCGGAAATTGCAACTAGTCCAACGCGCGGCAGCCATGATTCTAACAGGAGCGGAGCGCAGGGAGCACACAACCCCCCTGTTGCACCAGCTCCACTGGCTGCCGATTTGCTACCGGGCCCAATTCAAGGTGTTGGTACTAGCCTATAAAGCCCTAAACGGTTCCGGCCCAAGATACCTAGCTGACCGCATCTCGGCCTATGAACCCACCCGGATTTTGAGATCTTCCGGGGAGGCCCTGCTCTCGATCCCGCCAGCCTCTCAAGCATGGCTGGCGGGGACGAGAGATAGGGCCTTCTCGGTGGTGGCTCCTCGGCTGTGGAACGCCCTTCCTGTAGACGTTAGGCTGGCACCATCGCTCATGACATTCCGTAGAAAGCTCAAGACCTGGATGTTTGTGCAGGCATTTGAGTAATTCAGTGCAAGTGTGGTAATGTGAACATAGGAACGGAACAATGACGACGAATTTGGATCACGTTTGGATGATGAGGCGATCGGGGGGATGGGATTTGTGATAATTGTGTATTGTTGATTGCTTATTGGTTATTATTGGAACTGTGTAATTTAACTGTTTTGTATATTGATTATTGCTGTTTTTATTGTCTTTGCTGTTTGGAAACCGCTGTGAGTCGCCCTCGGGCTTGAGATACAGCGGTATACAAGAATAGTAAATAATAAATAATAAATAAATAAACAAGAGCACCTAAAGCTTCAGAGAGCTTCAGTTCAACCATTCCAAAGCTCTCTGCTTGAGTGGTGATGGCATGATCGTCAGCGTAGATGAAACTCTTTGGAGTAAAGATGAAGTACTTTGGCCACGTAATAGTATTAAGGGGTCGCGGCATTAGGAAGGTTGAGAAACACTGACCTAGAACTTGGGAGTGCTTCTGTTCAACCATTCGCATCCACCGTATCTCCCTCCTCCTCACTCATTTCACTCTCGGAAAACCCTTCGAAGGAATCCTCGTCAGTGGGTGACGTAAGTATCTCCCGGATCCTCTTCCTCTGTTGTTCCTCACCAAACTCTTGAGCACTCCTCTTCCCACTTCTGACACCCTTACTACCAGTTGCAGCGTTGCCAACAGACTCTACTACAACATAAACTCTCATGGTGAAGAGTAGAGACATCACACTGGCAATGAAGATCCGCATAGTTAAAGCAATTGTCTTCCCCATAGTAATCTATGGATGTGAGAGCTGGACCATAAGGAAGACTGAGCAAAGGAAGATCAACGCTTTTGAACTGTGAAGTGGGAGGAAAATGCTGAGAGTGCCTTGGAAGATCAAACCAGTCCATCCTCCAGGAAATAAGGCCCAACTGCTCACTGGAGGGAAGAATATTAGAGGCAAAGAGGAAGTACTTTAGCCAACATAATAGTCAGTAAGAGCACCTAAAGCTTCAAAGAGCTTCTGTTCAACCATTTCAAAGCTCTATGATTGAGCAGTGATGGCACGATTGTCAGCATAGATGAAACTCTCTGAAGTACTTTGGCCACATAACAGTCAGTAAGAGCACCTAATGCTTTGGAGAGCTTCAGTTCAACCATTCCAAAGCTTCCTGCTTGAGCGGTGATGGCATGATCGTCAGCGTAGATGAAACTCTTTGGAGTAAAGATGAAGTACTTTGGCCACGTAATAGTAAGAGCACCTCAAGCTTCAGAGAGCTTCTGTTCAATCATTTCAAAGCTCTCTGCTTGAGCGGTGATGGCATGATCGTCAGCGTAGATGAAACTCTTTGTCGTTTCTTGTATTTGTAGGGGTCACCACAACATGAGGAACTGTATTAAGGGGTCGTGGCATTAGGAAAGTTGAGAAACATTGACCTAGAACTTCGGGGAGCTTCTGTTCAACCATTTCAACGCTCCCTGCTTGAGCGGTGATGGCAATGTCAGCGTAGATGAAGTACTTTGGCCACATAATAGTAAGAGCACCTAAAGCTTCAGAGAACTTCTGTTCAACCATTCCAAAGCTCTCTGCTTGAGCAGTGATGGCATGATTGTCAGCGTAGATGAAACTCTTTGTCGTTTCTTGTATTTGTAGGGGTCACCACAACATGAGGAACTGTATTAAGGGGAAGGTTGAGAAACACTGACCTAGAGCTTCGGGGGGCTTCGGTTCAACCATTTCAACGCTCCCTGCTTGAGTGGTGATGGCATGATCGTCAGCATAGATGAAACTCTTTGTCGTTTCTTGTATTTGTAGGGGTCACCACAACATGAGGAACTGTATTAAGGGGAAGGTTGAGAAACACTGACCTAGAGCTTCGGGGGGCTTCGGTTCAACCATTTCAACGCTCCCTGCTTGAGTGGTGATGGCATGATCGTCAGCATAGATGAAACTCTTTGTCGTTTCTTGTATTTGTAGGGGTCACCACAACATGAGGAACTATATTAAGGGGAAGGTTGAGAAACACTGACCTAGAGCTTCGGGGGGCTTCGGTTCAACCATTTCAACGCTCCCTGCTTGAGTGGTGATGGCATGATCGTCAGCATAGATGAAACTCTTTGTCGTTTCTTGTATTTGTAGGGGTCACCACAACATGAGGAACTGTATTAAGGGGAAGGTTGAGAAACACTGACCTAGAGCTTCGGGGGGCTTCGGTTCAACCATTTCAACGCTCCCTGCTTGAGTGGTGATGGCATGATCGTCAGCATAGATGAAACTCTTTGTCGTTTCTTGTATTTGTAGGGGTCACCACAACATGAGGAACTGTATTAAGGGGAAGGTTGAGAAACACTGACCTAGAGCTTCGGGGGGCTTCGGTTCAACCATTTCAACGCTCCCTGCTTGAGTGGTGATGGCATGATCGTCAGCATAGATGAAACTCTTTGTCGTTTCTTGTATTTGTAGGGGTCACCACAACATGAGGAACTGTATTAAGGGGTCGTGGCATTAGGAAGGTTGAGAAACACTGACCTAGAGCTTCGGGGAGCTTCTGTTCAACCATTTCAACGCTCCCTGCTTGAGTGGTGATGGCATGATCGTCAGCATAGATGAAACTCTTTGTCGTTTCTTGTATTTGTAGGGGTCACCACAACATGAGGAACTGTATTAAGGGGAAGGTTGAGAAACACTGACCTAGAGCTTCGGGGGGCTTCGGTTCAACCATTTCAATGCTCCCTGCTTGAGTGGTGATGGCATGATCGTCAGCATAGATGAAACTCTTTGTCGTTTCTTGTATTTGTAGGGGTCACCACAACATGAGGAACTGTATTAAGGGGAAGGTTGAGAAACACTGACCTAGAGCTTCGGGGGGCTTCGGTTCAACCATTTCAATGCTCCCTGCTTGAGTGGTGATGGCATGATCGTCAGCATAGATGAAACTCTTTGTCGTTTCTTGTATTTGTAGGGGTCACCACAACATGAGGAACTGTATTAAGGGGAAGGTTGAGAAACACTGACCTAGAGCTTCGGGGGGCTTCGGTTCAACCATTTCAACGCTCCCTGCTTGAGTGGTGATGGCATGATCGTCAGCATAGATGAAACTCTTTGTCGTTTCTTGTATTTGTAGGGGTCACCACAACATGAGGAACTGTATTAAGGGGAAGGTTGAGAAACACTGACCTAGAGCTTCGGGGGGCTTCGGTTCAACCATTTCAACGCTCCCTGCTTGAGTGGTGATGGCATGATCGTCAGCATAGATGAAACTCTTTGTCGTTTCTTGTATTTGTAGGGGTCACCACAACATGAGGAACTGTATTAAGGGGAAGGTTGAGAAACACTGACCTAGAGCTTCGGGGGGCTTCGGTTCAACCATTTCAACGCTCCCTGCTTGAGTGGTGATGGCATGATCGTCAGCATAGATGAAACTCTCTGGAGTAAACATGAATTACTTTGGCCACATAATAGTCAGTAAGAGCACCTAAAGCTTCTGTTCAACCATTCCAAAGCTTCCATTCATGGAGCTTCTATAAATGACTGTATATACTCATGTATAAGCCGAGAGCAGATTTTAGGATCCAGAAAACCTATACGTTGGCATATAAGGGAACAGCTAATTTGAGTGGATCGTTCTCTCTTTCCAGCAACTCCTTAATGAAGAGAATTTGAGAAAGCAAGAGGAATCTGTTCAGAAGCAGGAGGCCATGAGGAGAGGTAATGTTATTTTTTTCCCCCGTTTTCTTGGAGGGAAACTATAACTCCTGTTTCCTACAGCCGTGCAAAAGACATACTGTATATACTCGAGTATAAGCCGACCCAAATATGAGCCGAGGCACTTAATTTTGCCACAAAAAAACTGGGAAAACGTATTGACTCGAGTATAATCCGAGGGCGAAAAATGCAGCAGCTACCGGTCAATTGCAAAGTAAAAAGAGACCGATAAAATGACATTAATTGAGGCATCCATAGGTTAAATGCATTTGAATATTTACAGTATATTCTGGCGTATAAGACTACTTTTTAACCCAAGAAAATCTTCTGAAAAGTCAGGGGTCGTCTTATACGCGGGTGTAGTCTTATGCATGGGAGTTGTCTTAACTCTATATTTTAACTGGAAAAGTTGGGGGTCGTCTTATACGCCCAGTCGTCTTATATGCCGGAATATACGGTACATAAAACCGTAATTTAAGATAAGGCAGTAAACTCTGATTAAACCATTATTCTAACCTTCTTCAATGTAAAGGTGCTTATGTATCCTTCCAATAATAATAAAGAGAGTAAAATTGTGGAAATGTAATAATAATAATAATAATAATAATAATAATAATAACAATAACAATAATAATAGAGGAAAATAATAAATGTTATAATAATAATAAATAGAGGAAAATAATTAAAGGAATAAAAAATAGAGGAAAATAATAAATGTTATACTACTACTAATAATAATAATAATAATAACAAAGAGTAAAATAATATAAATATAATAATATCAGTAATAACACAGTAAAATAATAAATGTAGTAAAAATAATAATAGAGTACAGTAATGTAAATGTAATAATAACAATAAAAGAGTAAAATGATAAATATAATAGTAATAGAGTAAAATAATAAATGTAATAATAATAGTAAAATAATGGAAATATAATAATAACAATAATAGAGTAAAATGATAAATATAATAACAATAGAGTAAAATAAGAAATGCAATAATAACAGTAAATAGAGTAAAATAATGGAAATGTAATAATATCAGTAATAACAGAGTAAATAATAAATGTAAAAATAATAACAATACAGTACAATAATGTAAATGTAATAATAACAATAGTAGGGTAAAATGATAAATATAATAGAGTAAATTAATAAATGTAATAAAAATAATAATAGAGTAAAATAATAGAAATGTTATATTATCAAAATAATAGAGGGAAATAACAGATGTAATAATAATAGAGTAAAATAATAAATGTCAAAGGACTGAAAACTTGGCTTATACTTGAGTATATACATGTGTTGTTTTGTTTTTGGCTGACCAGTTTAGAGATTTGAATCCAACCAGAAAAGCTATATTTGTTTGTGCACTGATATCCAGAACTCTTACTTTGAATATTTCCTGGGTCTCTCCTTTGCAGCTACGGTGGAGCGGGAGATGGAGCTCCGGCATAAGAACGAGATGCTGCGGATCGAGGCCGAAGCCCGCGCACGAGCCAAGGCCGAGCGGGAGAACGCAGACCTCATCCGGGAACAGATTCGGTTGAAGGCAGCCGAGCACCGCCAGACTGTGCTGGATTCCCTCAAGTATGTTTGAGTATACCTAAAGTATCAGAAACTAGAGCTGATGTGGCCCATCTAATGCAATTTTCTGAATCAGCCGATGTGGGCTATCTAATGCAATTTTCTGAATCAGCTGATGAGGTCTATCCAGTGCAATTTTCCGAATCAGCTGATGTGGTCTATCCAATGCAATTTTCTGAATCAGCTGGTGTGGGCTATCTAATGCAATTTTCTGAATCAGCCGATGTGGTCTATCCAGTGCAATTTTCCAAATCAGCTGATGTGGTCTATCCAATGCAATTTTCTGAATCAGCCGATGTGGTCTATCCAGTGCAATTTTCCGAATCAGCTGATGTGGTCTATCCAATGCAATTTTCTGAATCAGCCGATGTGGTCTATCCAGTGCAATTTTCCGAATCAGCTGGTGTGGTCTATCCAGTGCAATTTTCTGAATCAGCCGATGTGGTCTATCCAGTGCAATTTTCCGTATCAGCTGATGTGGTCTATCCAATGCAATTTTCTGAATCAGCCGATGTGGTCTATCCAATGCAATTTTCTGAATCAGCCGATGTGGTCAATCCAATGCAGTTTTCTGAATCAGCTGGTGTGGGCTATCTAATGCAATTTTCTGAATCAGCTGATGAGGTCTATCCAGTGCAATTTTCAGAAACAGTTGATGTGGTCTATCCAGTGCAATATCTTGAACAAGCACCTCAAATTATGAAACAATCTAAAATTGACCAAAAACAGATTTGGGAACCACCGATTTTAGCGTTCTGCAATCTCTTGGTCCAGTTCACATTCTTTGGGAGCGGTTTGGCAATTCGCATTTTGTCAGCCTGAATTGCGTGGGGTTGTCCACTGAATCTTCCAGTTTGTTATGAAATTATGCCCTCTACCTACCTGTCTGACTGTCCGTCCGTCCATCCATCTATCTATCCCTCTATGTATCCATGTCTCTATCTATCTCACCGTCTACCTACCAACACCCCTATGTATCCATCTGTCTGTGTGTCTGTCTATCCCTCTATGTATCCTCCCTCACTCCCTTCCGATCTAATCTAACAATTTATCCCTCTATGTATCTACCCCTCTATCTATCCATCTGTCTACCCTCCCTCTACCCCTCTATCTATCTATCTATCTATCTATCTATCTATCTATCTATCTATCTATCTATCCCTCTATCTCTCTCATGGCTGTGCTCCATTTTAGAATGAATAAAAATGAGGTCCCATGGAATGAAACCGCCTCGGCTGACTATCCCTCTATCTAACTATCCCTCTATCCATCCCTCTATCCATCCCTCTATCCATCCTCTATCTATCTATCTATATCTATCTATCTATGTAACTATCCTTCCCTCCCTCCTTCCCTCTATCTATCTATCTATCTATCTATCTATCTATCTATCTATTTATCCATCCATCCATCCATCCATCCCTCCATCCCTCTATCTAACTATCCCTCTATCCATCCCTCTATCCATCCCTCTATCTATCTATCTATCTATCTATCTATCTATCTATCTATCTATCTATGTAACTATCCTTCCCTCCTTCCTTCCTTCCATCCATCCATCCATCCATCCATCCATCCATCCATCCATCCATCCATTATCTATCTATCTATCTATCTATCTATCTATCTATCCTATCCTATCCTCCATCCCTCCATCCCTCTATCTATCTCTATCCATCTATCCATCCTCTATCCATCCATCCTATCTATCTACATCTATCATCTATCTATCTATCTACTCTCTTCTATCATCCTTCCATCCATCCATCCCATCTATCATCCATCCATCCATCCATCTACCATCCATCCATCCATATACTATCTATCTATCTATCTATCTTTCCATCCATCCATCCATCCATCCGTCTGTCTATCTATCTATCTATTTTTCTACACCTCTATCTATATATCCCTCTATATATCTGTTTGTCTGTCTATCTACCTACCTACCTACCCCTCTACTTATCTGTCTGTCTATCCCTCTATCTATCTCTCCATCTATCTGCTGCATCCTTTTCTGATGTCTCTTGTCGTCCTTCCCTTAGGACGGCCGGGACGCTGTTTGGCGAGGGATTCCGTGCCTTTGTCACAGACTGGGACAAAGTGACTGCCACGGTAAGCTGAAGAAGACGCTCTCTTAAGTTTCCAAACGTTTAATTCCTTTCTCTTTGCGTTAAATAGTTTGGGGATGGAAACTTCCTATCTGTGAGAGAGAGCTGTTCAGCAGTGGAACTCTCTGCCCTGGAGTGTGGCGGAGGCTCCTTCTTTGGAGGCTTTGAAACACAGACTGGATGGCGGGGGTGCTTTGAAGGTGATTTTCCTGCTTCTTGGCAGAATAGGGTTGGACTGGATGGTCAGTGAGGTCTCTTCCAACTTTTTGATGCTATGATTCTATGAGAAACATTGTATTTATATTATTATTATTATGATGATGATGATGATGATGATGATGATGATGATGATGATGATGATGATGAAACTAAGGAAGAGCCTTTCCCCTTTTCCGCAGGTGGCCGGGCTGACCCTCCTGGCTGTGGGCATTTACAGTGCCAAGAATGCCACCGCCGTGGCCGGCCGGTACGTGGAGGCCCGGCTGGGCAAGCCTTCTTTAGTGCGGGAGACCTCCCGCATCACTCTGCTGGAAGCTCTCAAGCACCCCATTAAGGTAAACACCCCCTCTTTGTGCGTTTGAGCCCGGACCAAAAGAGAGTCTCCTTCCCAGTTTGTCTCATTGGTTCCCTCTCCTTCCCAGATTGGCAAGCGGCTCGCCAGCAAGGCCCAGGATGCCCTCGAAGGCGTTGTTCTCAGCGTGAGTAACACCAACGCATTGCGTAGTACGACACCTCTGCTATTCGAGAGCACTTCCCCTACGTCAGACTTTGAGTCTCGCAGACCCATGTGCTTGTTCTCCTCTCTCCTTTTGCAGCCAAAGCTGGAGGAGCGCGTGAGGGACATTGCTATTGCGACCCGGAACACGCGGAACAACAGAAGCCTCTACCGGAACATCCTCATGTACGGCCCCCCGGGCACAGGGAAGACCCTCTTTGCCAAGGTAGCCCAATCCCAAGTTATATAGCCACCACTATGCTTGTGTTCCATGCGATCTATGTATCTATCTCTACACATAATAATATCTACAGACATAAAAAATGTGGGGTGTCCACTTACACAGACGAGGTCCCGTCTCCACAAACACCACTCAGGAGACCCAAAGGCCCTCCCTCCAATGAGCAAAATAATAAATGTAATAATAATAACCATAATATAGAGGAAAATAATTAATGTCCTAATAATAATAATAATAATAATAATAATAATAATAATAATTAGAGTAAAATAATGTAAATGTGATAGTAACAATAGTAAATGGAGTAAAACAATAAATGTAATTATAACAATAATAGTGTAAAATAACGTAAATGTGATAATAACAGGTAGGGTAAAATGATAAATGCAATAATAATAATAATAATAATAATTATAGAGTAAAATAATGTAAATGTGATAATAACAGGTAGGGTAAAATGATAAATGCAATAATAATAATAATAATAATAATAATAGTTATAGAGTAAAATAATGTAAATGTGATAATAACAGTAGGGTAAAATGATAAATGCAATAATAATAATAATAATAATAATAATAGAGTAAAATAATGTAAATGTGATAATAACAGTATGATGAAATAATAAATGCAATAATAATCATAATAACAATAGAGTGAAATAATAAATGTAATTAAAATAATAATAATAGAGTAAAATAATGTAAATGTGATAGTAACACATTTAATACTCTATTATGACAATAATAGAGTAAAATAATGTAAATGTGATAATAACAGTAGGGTAAAATAATAAATGCAATAATAATAATAGTAATAATAATAGAGTGAAATAATGTAAATGTGACAATAACAACAGTAAATAGAGTAAAATTATAAATGTAAATAAAATAATAATAATAAGGAGGCTGTCGAGGTCCTGAACCGGTGCCTGGCCGCTGTAATGGTCTGGATGAGGGCGAACAAACTGAAATTAAATCCAGACAAGACAGAGGTACTCCTGGTCAGTCGCAAGGCCGAACAGGGTATAGGGTTACAGCCTGTGCTAGACGGGGTCGCACTCCCCTTGAAGGCGCAGGTTCGCAGCTTGGGTGTGACCCTGGATTCGTCGTTGAGCCTGGATCCCCAGGTTTCAGCGGTGACCAGGGGAGCATTTGCACAGCTTAGGCTCGTGCGCCAGCTGCGCCCGTACCTTGGGAAGTCTGACTTGGCCACGGTGGTACACGCTCTGGTCACATCCCGCCTTGACTACTGCAACGCTCTCTACGTGGGGCTGCCCTTGAAGACGGCCCGGAAGCTTCAGCTAGTCCAGCGCGCGGCAGCCATGTTACTAACAGGAGCAGGACGCAGGGAGCACACAACGCCCTTGTTGTTCCAGCTCCACTGGCTGCCGATCTGCTACCGGGCCCAATTCAAGGTGCTGGTGTTGGCCTACAAAGCCCTAAACGGTTCCGGCCCAAAATACCTGTTTGACCGCATCTCGGCCTATGAGCCCACGAGGACTTTGAGATCGTCTGGGGAGGCCCTTCTCTCGATCCCGCCTGCCTCACAGGCACGCCTGGCGGGGACGAGGAATAGGGCCTTCTCGGTGGTGGCGCCCCGGCTGTGGAGCACCCTCCCTGTGGACATCAGACAGGCGCCCTCCCTTATGTCCTTCCGAAGAAGCCTAAAGACATGGCTATTTGAGCAGGCGTTCAACTAAGTGCTATAGTAACTAATGATGACGAATGGAACGAAATATGGAATATGAGATTGGCTTTGCGATTCTATGACACGACGACGCGGATGATTTAGAGTAATTATTGTGGTATTATTAATGTGAAATGTTTATTATGTGTACGAGGATTTTTGTAAACTGTTTTTTATATGTTGTACACCGCCGTGAGTCGCCCTAATGGGCTGAGAACGGCGGTTAACAAATGCAATAAATAAATAAATAAATAAATAAATAAATAAATAATAGAGTAAAATAATGTAAATGTGATAATAACAACAGTAAATAGAGTAAAACAATAAATGTAATTAAAATGATAATAATAGAGTGAAATAATAAATGACCTTGACTCGAGTATAAGCTGTGTGGTGGTGGTGGTGGTGGTTTCAGCCTTAAAAAAGGCAATATTGAATCTGTGTGAGCCTCTGAACTCGATAACTTAAATCTACTAAATCCTGTATATCCTTAAAACCAGAGGTTCAGTTTTAGTAATTACTTGGTGGTTGTCCCTCCCTCTCTCCAGAAACTAGCCACACATTCCGGCATGGATTACGCCATCATGACGGGCGGTGACGTGGCCCCAATGGGGCGGGAAGGGGTCACTGCCATGCATAAGGTCTTCGACTGGGCAAACACCAGCAGGAGAGGGTAAGCCGGATCCGTGTTTTCTGCCATTTCCCACTCCTTGAGCATCAGCTACACTAAAGGCAGGTGATCTTAGCAGGTCTAAGTGTGTCATGGCCACAAACATCACAATCGAGGGCACACAAAGGTTATGTTGTGGGATATAGAACAATATGCAGGTAATCCCTGACTTACAGTAATCCGACTGACATCCAACTCATAGTTAAGAACATCTTGTTGCTTGAAAAGAATCCATCAGAGCCAGCTAACACCTCCCAACAAAGGATTCCCCCAGGCAGGAAGCACCCAGACCTTTAAACCGCAAGGCCATTCAGTGCTAATTAAGGTGGCCAATTGCAACATTCACACTTGCCTCCAGCAGACAAGAGTTCTTTCTCCCACCCTGGACATTATTCCACAGATATATAAACCCCACTTGTCTAGTTTCCAACGGACCTCACAACTTCTGCACTAGATGTGGGCGAAACGTCAGGAGAGAATGCTTCTGGAACATGGCCACACAGCCCAGAAAACTCACAGCATCCCAGTGATTCCGGCAATGAAAGCCTTCAACACTAAACATAGAACACTAAAGCTTTGAAGAGCTTCTGTTCAGCCATTTCAAAGCTCCCTGCTTGAGCGGTGATGGCGCAGTCGTCAGCATACACGAAAAGCTCTCTATCCCTTCTGGCAGTGGCTGGTCATTTGTGTAAATGTTAAACATGGATGGAGCAAGCACGCTCCCCTGAGGCAGAATGTTTTTCTGTTTTCACCATCTGCATCTCTTGCCCTGGAACTCAACAAAAAAACTCCTGTTTTGTAGCAGATTTCCTATAAAGCAGGTGTGGTGGTAATCCTTTGAGATATTATTGGGCACTGTTAATTGGTGATCTATGTGCCCCTCGATTGCTTCTAGTATACATCCGCTCCCTGTGTCGACTTCAAGAGGCAGCCCCAGACTTAGCCACAGTGGTCTTGTTACATCCCGAATAGACTACTGCAACACACTCTACGTGGGCTTGCCTTTGGAGACTGTCCGGAGGCTCCAAATAGTTGGCTATTCAAGCAAACGTTTGGGGAGTGATAGCAATACTGAATTAAAGGACAGCCTAGGGATTGGTGCAATGTCTAAATGTCTATGTTTGATGTTCTTATAGTTAATGGCTTTAATCTATAAGGTTTCCCCTTGACGTTAAGTCTAGTCGTGTCCAACTGGGAGGTGGTGCTCATCTCCATTTCTAAGCCGAAGAGCCAGCATTGTCCATAGACACCTCCAAAGTCATGTGGCCGGCATGACTGCACGGAGCACTATTACCTTCCCACCGGAGCGGTACCTATAGATCTACTCACATTTGCATGTTTTCGAACTCCTAGGTTGGCAGAAGCTGGGGCTAACAGCGGGAGCTCACCCTTCTCCCTAGATTCGAACTGCCAACCTTTCGGTCCGGAAGTTCAGCAGCTCAGCGGTTTCGCCTGCTCAGCTGCCAGGGGCAAATATTATGCAAAATTTGTGCAAATACATTTCAGAGGTTTATGCAGATCATTTTGAAGACTTGGTTCCCCTTGCTGTACAATTCCGTTACCTTCCCGCAGAAGCGGTACCTATTGATCTACTCACGTTTGCATGTTTTCGGAAGTGCTGTGTTGGTAGAAGCTGGAGCTCATCCTGCTCCCGGATTCAAAATGCCAACCTTTTGATCAGCAAGTTCAGCAGCTCAGTGGTTTAACCCGTTGCATCACAAGGGGGCTTCTTTTGATCTATAGCTATATGTTACTGATTTATGTATGTGATATATTTTTATACATGTGAGAGGCATTGGATTTTGCCATTTATTATGTTGTGAACCGCTTTGAGCCCCCCTCGGACTCAAATATCACTACCTAGCACTATACAAATGTGACTAGATCAATAGGCACCACTCCAGCGGGAAGGGTGCAGCGCTCCATGCAGTCCCATGTGTGGGTCCTTTGATGGGAACGCAGATTGTCACTCCGACTAAAGCTTTCTCTCCATTCCATGCATTTAGGTTCCTTGGCTTAGAAATGGCGATGAGCACCCCCCCCCCCCCCCCCCCCCCAAGTGTCGGACACGACCAGACTTAATGTCAGGAGAAACCTTTTACCTACCATTCTTTCCCCCACCTTAGCACTACACAAAGCTTATGTATTTCTATGTAAACGTTTCTAATCTAAGCCATCAATTATCAAACTTTCCTCTCTTTTCCAGTCTGTTGTTGTTTGTGGACGAAGCAGATGCGTTCCTGCGTAAGCGGTCAACGGTACGTGTCTCTGAACACCTTCCTCACCCCTCTCTCGGCAGATGTCCTCGGTCCAGCCTTAATATTCAGCTACCAATTATTTAAAGCTTGCAGGAACGTTGTTCCTGCTTGGCACAAGGCATGGTGCCTGCCATTTGCCTCTCATTTGTCCCTTTATTAAATATAAATATAAGAAATATAATAACATAATACAATTAAGGTATAATAATATAGTAAAATAATCTACATAAATAAAAGTGTAATGTTCGTTTGTGGGATTAACTTAACTCAAAAACCACTGGATGAACTGACACCAATTTTGGACACAACACACCTCTTGGTCCAATGAGTGACCATCACTTAGAAAAACAAAAAACACACAGTAGAAGGGACTTAAACCCCCAAAAAACATTACAGCGCATGTGTGAAAATGACTCCCTGCAAGGCTCACTTCCCAGCAACGCCCAGGCAAGAGGTAGAGGAGGAAGGAAGGGTAGAAAAAAAGGGAAGAGGGAGGGAAGAAAGGAGAGAAAGGGAGGGGAAAAAGAAAGAAAGAGAGGAGGAAGTATGGACGCAAAGAGTGAAGGAAGGAAAGAAAGAGGTAGAGAAGGAAGGAAGGAGAGAAGGAAAGGAAAAGGGAAGGAAGGAAGGAAAGAGGGAGGGAAGAAAGGAGAGAGAGAAAGGGAAGGAAAGAGAAGGAAAGGATAACTCAAAAAACACTGGACGAATTGACACCAAATTTGGACACAAGACACCTCTCAGGCCAACAAGTGACCATCACTCTGAAAAACACTGGAAAACATAGCAGAAGAGACTTAAAAAGCCAAAAAGACATTACAGCACATGTGTGAAAATGATTCCCTGCAAGGCTCACTTCCCAGCAACGTCCAGGCAAAAGGTAGAGAAGAAAGGAAGGATAGAAAAAGGGAAGGGAAGGAAAGGGAGGGAAGAAAGGAGAGAAAGGGAGGGGAAAAAGAAGGAAAGAGTGGAGGAAGTATGGACGCAAAGAGTGAAGGAAGGAATGAAAGAAAGAGGTAGAGAAGGAAAGGAAAAGGGAAGGAAGGAAGGAAAGAGGGAGGGAAGAAAGGAGAGAGAGAAAGAGGGAAGGAAAGAGAAGGAAAGGATGGATGCAAAAAGTGAAGGAAGAAAGGAGAAAAAGAGAAGGGGAATAAAAAGGGAAGGAAGGAGAGAAGGAAAGGAAAAGGGAAGGAAGGAAAGAGGGAGGGAAGAAAGGAGAGAAAGAAAGAGGGAAGGAAAGAAGGAAGGATGGACGCAAAGAGTGAAGGAAGAAAGGAAAGAAAGAGGTAGAGAAGGAAGAAAGGATAGAAAAAGGGAAGGAAGGAAAGAAGGGGAGAAAGGAGAAAGAGAGGGAAGGAAAGTGAGAAGGAAAGAGAAGGAAGGATGGACACAAAGAGTGAAGGAAGAAAGGAAAGAAAGAGAAGGAAGGAAGAGAAGAGAAATAAAAGGGGGGAAGGAAGGAAAGAGGGAAGAAAGGAGAAAGAAAGAGAGATGGATGTAAAGAGCAAAGGAAGAAAGGAAAGAGGTAGAAGGAAGAAAGGAGAAAAGGAAAGAAAAATCTGGAAGGAAAGAGGGAGGGAAGGTTGGCCACAGCAATGTGTGGTGGGTACAGCTTATAAATGTATAAAGTAATACAATACTAAATAGAATAAGTATAATGTAATGTGCTGCAAAAAGTCTGGCAAAAATAAAGTTTTTGCAACTTCAATAAATCTTTCTCATGTTTTTATTCTGATTAAAAAGATGTGTTACATAGTGTAATATGTTATATTATATCATTTAGTATAATAATATAGAAATAACAATATATTGCAATTGTAACATAATAATATAATAATAAATATAACAACAACATAATATAACATATAATTGTATGATATTATTAGTATGATATTATATTATATTATACATTATTATTATATATATATATTATAATATATATATTATATATATAATTATAATATATAATAATATATATAAAATAATATATGTATCAATATAATAACAATACAATTATAATAATATAGATAATATAATAATATCATACAATCATGATATAATAATATAGTATCACTTGCTGAAGGGTGTCCCAGTCTTTGCAGTGTAATCAAACTTTTTTCCATGCTGTTATGATAAGAAACAATTTTAGGAAATGACAAACAATAATCGTGGTAGATGGCCAAATGATGAATGTGAGCAGATGCTTAACAAACTCTTCGCAACATGAGTTTGCATGGCTTTGTTTATGTGTTTGTGTGTTTGTGTCTCTCTCCCTCCTTTAGGAAAAGATCAGCGAAGACTTGCGGGCCACCCTCAATGCTTTCTTGCACCGAACAGGGCAGCACAGCAACAAGTAAGGAAAGGAGGAAAAGAGAAGGGGAATAAAAAGAGAAGGAAGGAAAGAGGTAGAGAAGGAAGGAAGGAAGGAGAGAAGGAAAGGAAAAAGGGGAAGGAAGGAAAGAGGGAGGGAAGAAAGGAGAGAGAGAGCGAAAGAGAGAAGAAAGAGATGGAAGGATGGAAGCAAAGGAAGGCGTTTCTCTCCCCCCCCCCCCCCCCCTTGCACTTACTACAGGCATAGGCAAACTTTCCAACTTGGAGGCCGCATGCTAGCACTCCCTGCTGGGAGGACTGGCTGCCTGGTGAAGGAAGGAAGGGAAGAGGAAGGAAAGAGAGAAGGAAGGAAGGATGAAAAGGAAGAAGGAAGGGGGAAGGAGAAAGAGGGAGAGGGAAGGGAAAGGGGGAGGGAAGGAGGGAAGAGGGAAGGAAGGAAAAGGGGAGGGAGGGAGGGAAGAGGAAGGAGGAAAGGGGAGGGAGGAAGGAAGGAAAGAAAGGGGAGGAAGGAAGATGGGAGGAGAAGGAGGAAAGAGGGAAGGAAGGACAAAAGGGAAGGAAGGGAGGAGGAAGGAAGGAAGGAAGGAAGGAGGAGGAAGGAAAGGAAGGGAAGAGAGAGGGAAGGAGGAGGGAGGAAAGAGAAGGAAGGAAAGAAGGGAAGGAAGGACAAAAGAGTGGAAGGGAAGGATAGAAGGAAGGAAACAAGGAGGGAAGGGAAGGATGGGAGGAGAAGGAGGGAAGAGGGAAGGAAGGAAAAGGGAAGGAAGGGAGGAAGGAAAGGAGAGGAGGAGGGAGGAAAAAAGAGAGAAGGAAGGAAGAAAGGGAGGAAGGAGAAAGATGGAAGGAAGGAGAGGAGGAAGGAAGAGGGAGGAGAAGGAGGAAAAGGGAAGGAAGGACAAAAGGGAAGGGAGGGAGGGAGGAGGAGGAAAGGGGAGGAAAAGAGAGGGAAGAGGAGGGAGAAAGAGAGAAGGAAGGAAAGACAAGGAAAGGAAGGATGAAAGGGTGGAAGGGAAGGATGAATAGATGGGTGGAAGGAACAATACTGATATTGTACTATGCTAATAATATAATATATTGTATGTATGTGTATATGTGTGTGTGTGTGTGTGTATAGTGAGCTGCTCTGAGTCCCCTTCGGGGTGAGAAGGGCGGCATATAAGTGTTGTAAATAAATAAATAAGGTAAAGGTTTTCCCCTGACATTAAGTCCAGTCGTGTCCGACTCTGGAGGTTGGTGCTCATCTCCATTTCTAAGCCAAAGAGCCAGCGTTGTCCGTAGACACTTCCAAGGTCATGTGGCCGGCATGGCGGCGTATACCGCTGTTACCTTCCCACCGGAGCGATACCTATTGATCTACTCACATTTGCATGTTTTCGAACTGCTAGTTTGGCGGGAGCTGGGGCTAACACTGGAAGCTCATCCTGCTCCCCGGATTTGAACCAGCGACCTTTCGGTCAGCAAGTTCATCAGCTCAGTGGTTTAACCCGCTGTTGACTCCCATATGCATCCTAACAGCTGCAGATTAATACGTGCTTGATGCCTTTTATGGTCTTTTATGGGAATTCATGTTGGAGCGCTGTTGATGGGAGGAGGAGGAACGACTGTAAACGAGTTTGCATTCTCAGGATCCGCTTCTCTCTCTTCTCCAGGTTCATGCTGGTCTTAGCCAGCAACCAACCCGAGCAGTTCGACTGGGCCATCAACGACCGGATCGACGAAATGGTCCACTTTGCGTTGCCGGGCTTAGAAGAGCGAGAGCGGCTGGTCCGGATGTATTTCGACAAGCACGTCCTGAAGCCGGCCACCGAGGGCAAGCAGTCAGTAAACACTCCTCCTCCTCCTTCCCTCCTGTCATTCATCATTACCAGGGATGATGGTTTTGGGGTTACAGCAGTGTTTCTCAACCTGGGATTCGGGATCCCTGGGGGGGTTTCAGAGGGGTCACCAAAGACCATTAGAAAAGCTACATATCCCAAGGTCAATCACCCCCAAATCCCACCTGTATTCACCGTTGGCCACGATAGGTCTGTGTGCCCAGTTTGGTTCAGATCCATCAGTTGGGTGCACACTGCTCTGTCGATGTGGGTGAACTATAACTCCCAACCTCTGAGGTCAGTCCCCTCAAAAGCCCACCAGTATGTGTGAGAGGTTTATTAGTTCAATCACCAGCTTGGTACAGAGTGGTGTCTGAGAGTTGGTGAACTACAACTCCCAGAATTCAAACCCCCCCCCCCCAACACCATGAGTATTGAATGTTTGCCATGCGTACCTGTCCGAACGTATCTCCTTCTACGTCCCGCCTCGGAATTTAAGATCTTCTGGAGAGGCCCTGCTCTCAGCTCTGCCCTTGTCACAAACGAGACTGGTGGGGACGAGGGACGGGGCCTTCTCGGTGGTAGCCCCCCGCCTGTGGAACTCACTCCTCACTCCAGCAATTAGATCATCGTCATCCCTCCTCTCGTTCAGAAGGAAATTAAAAACATGGATATGGGACCAGGCCTTTGGGTAATCTGGCAGATTGACAAGGACAATGATGACAATGAGCTTTGGAAACGGACTTTGATAAGCTGAATGGCTCACCAGTTACGGAACTGGGCGAAACGATGGCCACCAAGCTGGCTTTTTCTATGAGATTTGAGAAGGCTGACGATCCCTCCAGCCTGTCCTTCTCTTCCTGTTTGGAAACGGAGGGTGACTCCTCCCACCAAAAGCCTTCCTCTGCTATGATTGGCTGGCTTCTCAGCCAAGGGGAGGGCTTTTTCTGAGATTGCAAGTGAGGAGGGGAGAGCAGGTGTGCTTGATGCGCATGTGTGGGTGAGGAAGAGCATGCAAGGCTGGAGGGAGGCCCATGCCAGCGAGTCCCTTCAAGGCAGGGGGTTCTGCGTGGGAAGTTTGGCCCAATTCTATCGCTGGTGGGATTCAGAATGCTCTTTGATTGTAGGCGAACTATAAATCGGGAGAGGGGAGAGCAGGCATGCTCAGCACATGGCCACATGTGCAGGAAAGGGAGAATGTGCACGGCTGGAGGGAGGCTCATGCCAGCATGTCCCCTCTGTGTGGGAAGTTTGGCCCAATTCTGTCACTGGTGGGATTCAGAATGCTCTTTGATTGTAGGCGAACTATAAATTGGGAGAGGGGAGAGCAGGCGTGCTCAGCACATGGCCACATGGTGCACATGTGCAGGAAAGGGAGAGCGTGCGAGGCTGGAGGGAGGCTCATGCCAGCAAGTCCCTTCAAGGCATGAAGGGTCTGTGTGGGAAGTTTGGCCCAGTTCTATAGCTGGTGGGATTCAGAATGCTCTTTGATTGTAGGTGAACTATAAATCGAAGAGAGGAGCACAGGCGTGCACATGTGCAGGCAAGGCAGAGCATGTGTGGCTAGAGGGAGGCTCACGCCAGGTTTCAAGGCATGGGGGTTTTGTGTGGGAAGTTTGGCCCAATTCTGTCATTGGTGGGGTTCAAGGGGCTCTGTGATTGTAGGTGAACTATAAATCCCAGCAACTGCAACTCCCACACATCAAAGTCTATTTCCCCCCAAACTCCACCAGTATTCACAATTGGGCATATTGAGGATTCATGCCAAGTTTGGTCCAGATCCATCATTGTTTGAGTCCCCAGTGCTCTTTGGATGTAGGTGTACTACAACTCCCAAACTCAAGGTCAATGCCTACCAAACCCTTCTCTTGGTCATGAAAGTTCTGTGTGCCAAGTTTGGTTCAATCTCATAATTGGTGGAGTTCGGAATGCTCTTTGATTGTAGATGAACTATAAAATCCCAGGAACTAAAACTCCCAAATGGCAAAATCAATCCCCCCCAACCCCAACAGTATTCAAATTTGGGTGGATTGGGTACTGGTGCCAAATTTGGTCCAGTGAATGAGAATACATCCTGCATAGCTGATGTTTACATTACGATTATAACAGGAGCATAATTAGAGTTATGAAGCAGCAACGAGAACAATGTTCTGGTTGGGGGTCACCACCACAGGTCCTTGAGGGTGCTACGACTTCCATGCGGATGCTGATTTGTGTTGCTCTTCCTCCTCCAGGCGCCTGAAGCTGGGCCAGTTTGACTATGGGAAAAAGTGCTCCGAGATTGCCAAGCTGACCGACGGCATGTCAGGTCGGGAGATCTCGCAACTCGCTGTCGCCTGGCAGGTAAGCGCAAAGTTCTTCCTGTTGTTTACGTGCGTACTCTTTTCCTGCCATTTTAATCCACTGAACGGCCTTGCAGCTTCAAGGACTGGCCACTTCCTGCTTGGGGGAATCCTTTGTTGGGAGGTGATTAGCTGACCCTGATTGATTATTGTCAAGAATTCCCCTGTTTTCAGTGTGTTGCTCTTTATTTACAGTCCTGATTTTAGTTTTTTAATACTAGGATGAGCACTCCCCCCCCCCCCCCCCCGCCCCCCTCAGAGGGTTGTTGTAGGTTTTTCGGGTTATATGGCCATGTTCTAGAAGCATTCTCTCCTGATGTTTCACCTGCATCTATGGCAGGCATCCTCAGAGTTGTGAGGTCTGTTGGAAACTAGGCAAGCGAGGTTTATATATCTGTGGAATAATGTCCAGGGTGGGAGAAAGAACTCTTGTCTGTTTGAGGCAAGTGTAAATGATGGCAATTGATCACCTTGATTAGCATTGAATGGCCTTGCAACTTCAAAGCCTGGCTGCTTCCTGCCTGAGGGATCCCTTTTTGGGAGGTGTTAGCTGGGCCTGATCATTTCATGTCTGGAATTCCCGTTTTTGAGTGTTGCTGTTTCTTTACTGTCTAGATTTTAGTTTTTTAATTCTGGTAGCCAGATTTTGTCATTCTTTGCATCAGTATCCATATTGCCATCTTATAACCCATTGTCATCACTCCCCACATCTAAAGCACCCTGATCCTTAAACACAATCACAGGCTGACCTCCAACACTTGGAAGGTGTTAGCTGGCCCTGATTGTTTCTTGTCTGGAATTCCCCTGTTATCTAAGTATTGTTTTTATTTACTGTCCTAATTTTGGAGTTTTTTTCATACTGGTGGTGCAGTTATTTAAACCGCTGAGCTGCTGAACTTGCTTACTGAAAGGTCACAGGTTCGAATCCGGAGAGCAGGGTGAGCTCCTGCTGTTAGCCCCAGATAGATAGATAGACAGATAGTTTCGGCCAACATAGCAGTTTGAAAATGTGAGTAGATCAATAGGTACTGCTCCGGCAGGAAGGTAACAGCACTCCATGCAGTCATGCCGGACACATGACCTTGGAGGTGTCTATGGACAACACTGGTTCCTCAAACGAATGAAACTTTCTTCGCATTCCATGCATTTATATGGCTTCTCCCCTCTGTGGGTCCTTTGATGGGAACACAGATTGTCACTCCGACTGAAGTTTTCTCCACATTCCAAGCATTTAGGTTCCTCGGCTTAGAAATGAAGATGAGCACCAACCCACAGAGTTGGACACGACTGGACTTAGCGTCAGGGGAAAACCTTTACCTTTACCTATTCAGATTGTGTTCATTTTCATGGTTTCCTCCATCCTTTCTGTTGACATTGTCCACATGCTTGTGGATTTCGGTGACTTCTCTATGTAGTCTGACATAATGGTTGCGAGAGTGGTCTAGCATTTCCGTGTTCTCAAATAATACGCTATGTCCAGGTTGGTTCATCAAGGGCTCTGCTATGGCTGACTTAAGTCTGCAGTCTAACCTGATCTCCTGTGCTATGTCAATAATATAATATCACATAATATAATATAATATAATATGATGTAATGTAATATATTATGGAGCCCCCGGTGGCGCAGTGGGTTAAAGCACTGAGCTGCTGAGCTTGTTGATCGAAAGGTCGCAGGTTCGATTCCGGGGAGCGGCGTGAGCTTCCGCTGTCAGCACTAGCTTCTGCCAACCTAGCAGTTCGAAAACATGCAAATGTGAGTAAATCAATAGGTACCGCTCCGGCGGGAAGGTAACGGTGCTCCATGCAGTTATGCTGGCCACATGACCTTGGAGGTGTCTACGGACAACGCTGGCTCTTCGGCTTAGAAATGGAGATGAGCACCACACCCCAGTCAGACATGACTGGACTTAATGTCAGGGGACTACCTTTACCTACCTTTACCTACTATATTATATGTACATATATTATAATACTACTAATAATAATATATTATAATTATATATTTATGTTACTAATAATAATACAATATAATGGTATAGTACAATATAGTAATATTTAATACTGATATTGTACTATGCTAATAATACAATATATTGTATGTATATATATTTTGTAAGCTGCACTGAGTCCCCTTTGGGGTGAGAAGGGCGGCATATACGTGCCGTAAATAAATAATGGTAATGGAAACGGCTATATGACTGTCTAATTAATGTTTTTGTTTTTAATCTATTATGTGTATTTATGGTTTTATATTGTTATTGTGATATTGCGGCATCATATTGTTGCCAGTGTTAGCCGCTCTGAGTCCCCCCGCCCCCAGTTGAGAAGAGGGGGGTAGAAATGTTCTAAATAAAATAAATAGATAAATGTAGTATTACTAATAATATTACAGTATAATTGTATAGTGCTATATTGTAATATATAATACGGATATGGTGCTATGCTAATAATAATGTGTGTGCATCTTTTAAGCTACTCTTGAGTCCCCTTCGAGGTGAGAAGGGCGGCATATACATGTCATAAATAAATAAATAGGAAGCGGCCAAGCCTTGAAGCTGCAAGGCTATTCAATGCTAATCAAGGTGATAAATTCTAGCATTCACTCTTACCTGGATGCTCCACAGATATATCAACCCCTCTTGCTTAGTTTCCAACAGAACTCACAACCTCAGAGGATGCTTGGCATAGATGTGGGCAAAACGTCAGGAGAGAATGCTTCTGGAACATGGCTATAGAGCCCGGAAAACTCACAGCAAGCCAATGATTCCAGCCATGAAAGCCTTTTGACGACATAAACCAAGTTGTTGTTGCTCTTTGCGAAAACCCACAGCCAGAAGTTGGCCTTCTGCAGCTGGCAGACGGTATTCTTGTCAGCGCCGATTGTGTTTAAGTGCAGGCCAAGGTCTTTAGGCACTGCACCCAATCTGCCGATCACCACTAGGACCACCTTGACTGGCTTGTGCCAGAATCTTTGCAGTTCAATCTTTACATCCTCATATCGTGTCAGCTTTTCCAGTGGTTTCACCGGGGATTGCGACATCGGCGATCCATACTTTGTTTTTTAACACGATTGTGAGGTCAGGAGTGTTGTGCTCCAAAACTCTGTCTGTCTGAATTCGGAAGTCTCAGAGTAGCTTGACATGTTCATTCTCTGTAACTTTTTCTGGCTTGTGATCCCATCCGTTCTTTGTGGCAGGCAGAAGGTGTTTGTGGCACAAATTCCAGTGAATCATCTGAGCAACGGTGTTGTGCCTCTGCTTGGAGTCTGTCTGCGCAATCTTCTTGCAGCAGCTTCCTTGCAGAGTCTGCACTTGGGATCTGTTGTCGACTTTTCAATTCTTGCTTTGATGGTGTTTGTGGCACAAGTTCCAATGAATCGTCTGAGTAATGGTGTTGTGCCTCTACCTGTAGTCCGTCTCCCGATCCTCGTGCAGCAGCTGAGGATGGGATCTATTGTTTCATCTGCTTCCTTGCAGAGTCTACATTTGGGATCTGTTATCGACGCTAATTCTGGCTTTGATGGCATTGGTTTGAATGGCTTGTTCTTATTTATTTTATTTATTTATTTATTTGCTATACTTGTATACCGCCGTTTCTCAGCCTAGCCGGTGACTCAACGCGGTTTACAACAACTTATAACAAACAACAGTATACAGTTTAAAAGCATAAAAACACGATCCACAATACATATATCAATAAACAATCCAATTCATCTCTTGACTAAAATCGCGATCCAGTTTCGTCGTCCAAATTGCCAGTCCTTCAATCATTACACTTATTGCACTGAGTTAACCGAACGCCTGCTCGAACATCCAGGTTTTTAGTCTTTTCCGGAATACCATCAATGAAGGGGCTGATCTTACCTCTATGGGGAGGGCGTTCCATAGCCGCGGGGCCACCACAGAAAAGGCCCTGTCTCTCGTCCCCGCCAGCCGCACCTGTGAAGCAGGCGGGATAGAGAGCAGGGCCTCCCCAGAAGATCTTAGGGTCCTGGTGGGCTGATAGGCCGAGATACGTTCGGATAGGTAAGTTGGGCCAGAACCGTTTAGGGCTTTAAAGGCCAACGCCAGCACTTTGAATTGAGCCCGGTAGCAGATCGGCAGCCAGTGGAGCTGGTGCAGCAGAGGAGTTGTATGCTCCCTGCGCTCTGCTCCAGTTAGTATCATGGCTGCCAAGCGTTGGACTAATTGGAGCTTTTGGGCCGTCTTCAAAGGCAACCCCACGTAGAGAGCGTTGCAGTAGTCAAGACGGGATGTAACCAGAGCGTGGACTACCGTGTCCAAGTCAGACTTCCCAAGGTTCTTGGGCTTATTGTTATTATTATTATTATTATTATTATTATTATTATTATTGGTGAGCTTCTGGCTCACATAAACCGAGATGACAGGAGATTGTGGGTTTCAGGGTAAGCGTACCTGAGCGCTGTGTGCGAGAAAGCGGATTCCAGGCGACACCGCGAGGCATTTACATCTCAGCGAAGCCAAATGCTTGATGATGATGACAAGTTAAAAATTTCCTCTTCCAAGGAGCGGTTTCCTTTCTTCTGCTGGCGGCCCCGGGCAGCTCTATTTTTAGAAAACCATTCAGAGAAGCAGCCAAGTGTGAACCGCAGCAGAGCCCCAGCTGGAGCGTTGCGGTAAAATGGGATCTATAGGGAGCGGGGGGAGCCGGTTTGGATGGAGACTTGGTCGTCTCCCCCCCCCTCCCACCACCACCACATCCTATCTGCAATATTCACTGGACCAAATTGGGCACAAATGCCCAATACGCACAAATTTGAACACTGTTGGGGTTGATTTTGTCATTTGGGAGTTGTAGTTGCTGGGATTCATTGTTCACTTACAATCAAAGAGCATTCTGAACTCCACCAACGATGGAATTGAACCAAACTTGGCACACAAAACTCCCACGACCAACAGAAAATACCAGAACGGTTTAGTGGGCATTGACCTTGAGTTTGGGAGTTGTAGTTCGCCTACATCCAGAGAGCACTGTGGACTCAAACAATGATGGATCTGGACTGAACTTGGTATGAATATGCCCAAATGTGAACACTGGTGGAGTTTGGGGGGAAAACAGACCTTGATGTTTGGGAGTTGTAGTTGCTGAGATTTATAGTTCGCCTACAGTCAAAGACCATCCTGAAGTCCACCAACAATGGAATTGAGCCAAACTTGGCACACAGAACTCTCATGACTAAGTGAAAATACTGGACGGGTGTGGTGGGCACCGACCTTGAGTTTTGGAGTTGTCGTTCACCCACATCCAGAGAGCATTTTGGACTCACACAGTGGTGGATTTGGACCAAACTTGGCATGAATACTCAATATGCCCAAATGTGTATTTTCATTCACTGGACCAAATTTGGCACAAATACCTGATATGCCTAAATTTGAATACTTGTGGGAGTGGGGTTGGGGTTGATTTTGTCATTTGAGAGTTGTAGTTGCTGGGATTGATAGTTCACCTACAATCAAAGAGCATTCTGAACCCCATCGAGAGAATTGGGCCAAACTTCCCATACAACTGCTGCTCTGGGCCAGAGTGAAGAGAGAGAGGGGGCCTGGGGACGGTTCCATCTTGTCTCCTGTGCTATGCTAATAATATAATATAATATATTGTGTATATATAATATAATATATTGTATAAACACATATTTATAAAATTATAATGTAATGCAATATAATACTAATATATTATAATTATATATTTTATATTACATGTAATATAACTAATAATATTACAATATAATGGTATAGCACAATATAGTAATATTTAATACTGATATTGTACTATGCTAATAATATAATATAGTGTATGTATATATACTTACTTACTTACTTAGGCGATCACTCGTTGTCCAAGTAGGATAATCCTCCAGGGTGGGTCCGTAGGTGACCGTGGAGCCGTATTCTTGACCTGCACCTTCTCCCGCAGTGAGGGCATTGGTTTCCAGGTGGAAGGCGGTCCCGGTCAAGGTTGGCTTGACGCGCCTTCCTCTTGGCATGTTTCTCTCTTTTGCCCTTCATTCATGCCTCTTCAAATTCTGCAGCACTGCTGGTCACAGCTGACCTCCAGCTGGAACGCTCAAGGGCCAGGGCTTCCCAGTTCTCAGTGTCTATGCCAGAGTTTTTAAGGTTGGCTTTGAGCCCATCTTTCAATCTCTTTTCCTGCCCACCAACATTCCGTTTTCCATTCTTGAATTTGGAGTAGAGCAACTGCTTTGGGAGACGGTGATTGAGTTGGGCATCCGGACAACGTGGCCGGTCCAGCGGAGTTGATGGCGGAGGACCATCGTTTTAATGCTCGTGGTCTTTGCTTCTTCCAGCACACTGACATTTGTCCGCTTGTCTTCCCAAGAGATTTGCAGGATTTTCCGGAGGCAACACTGATGATATCGTTCCAGGAGTTGCATGTGACGTCTGTAGACAGTCCATGTCTCGCAGGTGTATATTTAGCAGGGTTGGGAGGACAGTAGCTTTATAAACAAGCCCCTTGGTATCCCTACGGATGTCCCGGTCCTCAAACACTCTCTGCTTCATTCAGAAAAATGCTGCACTCGCAGAGCTCAGGCGTTGTATTTCGGTGTGAATGTTGACTTTGGTGGAGAGGTGGCTGCCAAGGGAGTGGAAATGGTCCACATTTCCTAATGCTACACCATTAAGCTGTATCTCTGGCCTTGGAGAGGGGTTGGCTGGTGACTGCTGGAAGAGCACTTGGGTTTTCTCGATGTTCAATGACACGCTAAGCTTCTTGTATGCTTCTGCAAAGGTGTTTAGAGTGGCTTATAGGTCTTCTGAATGCACATAGACTACGTTATCATCTGCATATTGGAGTTCTATAACAGATGTTGTTCTCATATACTTCAGAGACGCTTAGAGTAGCTTATAGGTCTTCTTCTGAATGTGCACATACGTTATCGTCAGCATATTGGAGTTCTATAACAGATGTTGTTGTGACCTTGGTTTTGGCTTTCAGTCTGCTTCTCGTATACTTCAAAGGCGTTTAGAGTAGTTTATAGGTCTTCTGAATGTGCACGTACGTTATCATCTGCATACTGGAGTTCTATAACAGATGTTGTTCTCATATACTTCAGAGACGCTTAGAGTAGCTTATAGGTCTTCTTCTGAATGTGCACATACGTTATCGTCAGCATATTGGAGTTCTATAACAGATGTTGTTGTGACCTTGGTTTTGGCTTTCAGTCTGCTTCTCGTATACTTCAAAGGCGTTTAGAGTGGTTTATAGGTCTTCTGAATGTGCACGTACGTTATCATCTGCATATTGGAGTTCTATAACAGATGTTGTTGAGACCTTGGTTTTCGCTTTCAGTCTGCTTCTCGTATACTTCAAAGGCGTTTAGAGTAGTTTATAGGTCTTCTGAATGTGCACATACGTTATCATCTGCATATTGGAGTTCTATAACAGATGTTGTGACCTTGGTTTTGGCTTTCAGTCTACTGAAAGGCCAAGCTTCTTATATACTTCAGAGGCATTTAGAGTAGCTTATTGGTCTTCTTCTGAATGCGTACATACATTATCATCTGCATACTGGAGTTCTATAACAGATGTTGTGACCTTGGTTTTGGCTTTCAGTCTGCTGAAAGGCCAAGCTTCTTATATACTTCAGAGGCATTTAGAGTAGCTTATTGGTCTTCTTCTGAATGCGTACATACATTATCATCTGCATACTGGAGTTCTATAACAGATGTTGTTGTAACCTTGGTTTTGGCTTTCAGCCTGCTAAGGTTAAATAGCTTGCCATCTGTCCGAGAGATGATTTCCACTTCCCGTCAACAAGATGAAGTATAAAGGTGGGATATCAATGTAGTAAATAAATAAATACAGAACTCCCATGACCAAGAGGAAATGCTGTTTTCTGATGGTCTTTGGCGACCCCTCTAACACCCCCTTGTGACCCCCAGGTTGTAAAGGAAATGTGAAGGGAAATATATATATTTTTCAACGGCTCTTTCCTTTTTGCAGGCGGCTGCCTACGCATCCGAGGACGGCGTGCTCACGGAGGCGATGATCGACGCTCGCGTGGCCGACGCGGTCCAGCAGCACAAGCAGAAAATGGAGTGGCTGAAAGCCGAGGGCATGGGGCCGGGAAAGAGCCAGCCGTTGCCTCTCCCGCTGGGGAAGTCCGTGTGAGGAGGCCCCTTTGGATGCGCAGAAAGAGGAAAGGAGAGACGGAGAAAGCACGCCAGGCCGAGGGATGACGGGCAAGCGGCCTTTCGCCTTGGACGGAAGCAAATCATGTCGAGGAGAACACAAACGTTGTGCCAATGAAGAAGGATCAAGGGGTCACGTTCCGAAATCCGCTGTCTCTGGATTATTATGATTATTTTAACAGCTGGAATAAATGGTATACATGTGGGACTGTATCCCAGGAGAGGATACCAACACATTAAAACAATGCCACTGCTAAACAACCCACCGTTTTGCGCATAATTTGCTTCCAAACATTTGTAAACTAATTCAGAGATTTTTTTTGAAGGCAAGGGTGGAGAATCTTTTTTCTGCCAAATTCAGGTCATACTGGGTTGCTGTGAGTTTTCCACGCTGTCTGGCCATGTTCCAGAAGTATTCTCTCCTGACGTTTCGCCCACATCTATGGCAGACGTTGTGAGATTGAAACGTCAGGAGGAAATGCTTCTGGAATATGGCCAGACAGTCCGGAAAAAGATGAAAAGGGAAGGAAGGAGGTGAGAGGGAAGGAGACAGGAAACAGGTAAGGAGAAAGGGAGATAAGGAAGAAAGGGAAGGATGGAAGAAGGAAAGAGGGAGAGAAGGATAGGATGGTGAGAGAGAGGAGAGCCTGAGAAAAGATCCCAAAGGGTTGCATCAAAGAGCTCAATCTGTCCCAAGAGAGCCTCAAAGGACCTCTTGATGCTGCTTTGAGAGAAAGCATCAAAGAGCCAACGTCGTGGCCATTTTCCCACCCGAAAAAGTCCTCCCTTTGGCTAAGAGATCTCCCTCCAGCTTTGCACTCTCTCCCTCGCATGCGCACCACGCTACCATGCCCTGAGCATGCCTGCTCTCCCCTCCCTGCTTGGAGTCTCAGAAACAGCCCTCCCTTTAGCTAAGAGATCTCCCCCCAGCCTTGCGCACTCTCCCTCGCATGCGCACCACGCTACCATGCCCTGAGCATGCCTGCTCTCCCCTCCTCGCTTGGAGTCTCAGAAACAGCCCTCCCTTTGGCTAAGAGATCTCCCCCCAGCCTTGCGCACTCTCCCTCGCATGCGCACCACGCTACCATGCCCTGAGCATGCCTGCTCTCCCCTCCTCGCTTGGAGTCTCAGAAACAGCCCTCCCTTTGGCTAAGAGATCTCCCCCCAGCCTTGCGCACTCTCCCTCGCATGCGCACCACGCTACCATGCCCTGAGCATGCCTGCTCTCCCCTCCTCGCTTGGAGTCTCAGAAACAGCCCTCCCTTTGGCTAAGAGATCTCCCCCCAGCCTTGCGCACTCTCCCTCGCATGCGCACCACGCTACCATGCCCTGAGCATGCCTGCTCTCCCCTCCTCGCTTGGAGTCTCAGAAACAGCCCTCCCTTTGGCTAAGAGATCTCCCCCCAGCCTTGCGCACTCTCCCTCGCATGCGCACCACGCTACCATGCCCTGAGCATGCCTGCTCTCCCCTCCCTGCTTGGAGTCTCAGAAACAGCCCTCCCTTTAGCTAAGAGATCTCCCCCCAGCCTTGCGCACTCTCCCTCGCATGCGCACCACGCTACCATGCCCTGAGCATGCCTGCTCTCCCCTCCTCGCTTGGAGTCTCAGAAACAGCCCTCCCTTTGGCTAAGAGATCTCCCCCCAGCCTTGCGCACTCTCCCTCACATGTGCACCATTCTATCATGTCCTGAGCACGCCTGCTCTCTCCTCCCCGCTTGGAGTCTCAGATCTCTTTTGGCTAAGAGATCTCCCTCCAGCCTTGCACACTCTCCCTCACATGTGCACCACTCTACCATGTCCTGAGAACGCCTGCTCTCCCCGCTTGGAGTCTCAGAAACAGTCTGAGAAGGACAGGCAGAGAGATCTTCAGCCTTCTCTGCCAAAGGAGTTCCTGAGACCATCAGAAGGTATTTGGCAACCCCTCTGAAACCCCCTCGCAACCCCACCAGTGGTCGCGACCCCCAGGTTGAGAAATGCTGTTTTAGAGTGTGGAAGGCCCATGCAAAACCTTGGAAGTCAGGAAATCAGAGGCACGGTCATTTGGAAAATCTTGGGGGAGGCAAGCTGTGGGATTTAATGCCAGACCCCTGCGATACCTTGGAATCATTCCTCCAGCACACATACCACAAACAGCCTTTAATGGAGATCACCTTGGTCAAGAGCTAGCAAATAAATCCAACAGATGAGTGAGGTTGGTTTTGGTGGTCGATTTCTCATGTTTGTTTGTTTTTTTTCCTCTCTTTTTAATCACATGGACACTGCAATCAAACAATAAGAGCAATCACAGACATCGTCAATATTTTCCGAAGGAGGGTCTGTCCAATTCCCTCCCCGCTTCCTTTTGTTTTCTCCCCCCGCGGAACAAATTGGGAACTCTTTGTTGAAACACAAAGTCTGCAATTGTATCCCGCCCCCTCCCCAACCCTCCAAAAACAAAAAGTACTACTTTGACATATCCCAATGAGATTCGCGATGTCTCCTGGGAACATTGGGAGCAGGAATCCGGGAAGGGGAGATATAACTGGTGTTTGGCCATGCAGCCCCAATCCCAGAGTATTAGAATGTCACTTTGGGGGGGGGGGGGGGGGGAAGGAAGGGGGGATGACTACTCCCAGAATCCCCAGCTAGTGGACATGCGAAGGCAGGGGATTCTGGAAGTTGTAGTCTGAGAAAAAGGTAACTTTTCTGAGCTGCGGAAGTGGGCCTGCCTACCTTCCTTCCACAGAAGCGTGCGTGGGATTTAGGCCTTTGGAGTTCAATGGGAATCATGTCGTCTGAACTCTGAAGAATTTTACTTGCCCATTCAGTATATGCGCCTCTATATTCAGAATTACGGATTTGCTAGACTACAACAGGACATTAATGCCTGGGCAACTTGCGCATGCTCATTCGCTCTCTCGCTCTCCGGACTCCACACGTTGCTTTTTAGTGCTCTGAAACTAAAGAAAAACTAATGTTGGGGAACATCCTTAGACAAATTAAATGTTACATTTCTGGGTGTTACTGGTTTTCTAACCAAGTTGCCGAATCTATATATTTTTTTGTATTATAACTCCCAGAATTCCCCAGTCAGCATGATCACTGGGAGTCATAGTCTGAAATAAACCTTTACGAAATTCAACAGGATGCATCTCATTCACTTCCCCGTCCAAAAAGCCGGCATTGTAAGCTACATTGAGAACCAACCTGGTGTTGCACTGTCTTCTCTCTTGATGGAACTTTGCAGAACCCCAATCTGCTCAAAGACCCGTTGAGTTCCATCAAGAGAGAGGATGGTTCTTGTCCTCCTTTACTTCTCACCAGCATGAGAAGACAAGTACGGTCTTCTCTCTTGATGGAACTTTACAGGGTGGTCCCTGCCCTCCTTTACTTCCAACCAACTTCCACCTGCAGCCATGAGAGGACAAGCACCATCTTCTCTCTTGATGGAACTTTGCAGTACCCCAATCTCCTCAAAGACCTGTTGAGCTCCATCAAGAGAGAGGATGGTTCTTGTCCTCTTGTCTCATCGCCATGAGAAGACAAGCACCATATTCTATCTTGATGGAACTTTGTACTACTCAAAGACCTGTTGATGTTCTACTCAAAGACCTGTTGAGCTCCACCGAGAAAAAGGGTGGTTCATGTCCTCCTTTACTTCCAACCAACTTCCATCTGCAGCCCTGAGAGGACAAGCACCATCTTCTTTCTTGATGGAACTTTGCAGTACCCCAATCTCCTCAAAGACTTGTTGAGTTCCATCAAGAGAGAGGATGGTTCTTGTCCTCCTTTATTTCTCATTGCCATGGGAAGACAAATATGGTCTTCTCTCTTGATGGAACTTTATAGGAGGGTTCCTGCCCTCATTTACTTCCAACCAACTTCCCTCTGCAGCCGTGGGACAAGCTCCATCCTCTCTCCTGATGGGTTTTTTACAGTATCCTGTTCTACTCAAAGACCTGTTAAGTTCCATCAAGAGAGGATGATTCCTGTCCTCCTTTAAATCCAACCAACTTCCATCTAAAGCCATGAGAGGATGAGCACTATCTTCTCTCTTGATGGAACTTTGTTCTACTCAAAGACCTGTTGAGCTCCATTGAGAGAGAGGATGGTTCCTATCCTCCTTTAAATCTAAACAACTTCCATCTGCAGCTATGAGAGGACAAGCACTATCTTCTCTCTTGATGGAACTTTGTTCTACTCAAATACCAGTTGAGCTCCATTGAGAGGATGGTTCCTGTCCTCCTTTAAATCCAACCAACTTCCATCTAAAGCCATGAGAGGATGAGCACTATCTTCTCTCTTGATGGAACTTTGTTCTACTCAAAGACCTGTTGAGCTCCATTGAGAGGATGGTTCCTGTCCTCCTTTAAATCCAAACGACTTCCATCTGCAGCCATGAAAGGACAAGCACCATCTTCTCTCTTGATGGAACTTTGTTCTACTCAAAAACCTGTTGATGCTCTACCAAAAGACCTGTTGAGCTCCATCAAGAGAAGCTGGTCCTGTCCTCCTTTAAATCCAACCAACTTCCATCTAAAGCCATGAGAGGACAAGCACCATCTTCTCTCTGGATGGAACTTTGTTCTACTCAAAAATCTGTTGATGTTCTACCAAAAGACCTGTTGAGCTCCATTGAGAGAGAGGCTGGTTCCTGTCCTCCTTTAAATCCAACCAACTTCCATCTAAAGCCATGAGAGGACAAGCACTGTCTTCTCTCATGAAGGGACTTACAGTACCCCAATCTGCTCAAAGATATGTTGAGCTCCATCAAGAAAGAAGATTGTGCTCATCCTCATATGCTTCAATGCAACTTCCATCTACAGCCGCGGGACAAGCTCCATCCTCTCTCCTGATGGGAGTTTCACAGTATCTTGTTCTACTCAAAGACCAATTGAGTTCCACCAAGAGAGGGGATGGTTCCTCACCTCCTTTACTTCCAACCAACTTCCATCACCAGCCATAAGAGGACAAGTACTGTCCTCTTAAAGGCCTGCCCATGCGAAAGCAAAGCCATCTCCCAATGCTGCTGTGTTGCTAGCGTCTCAGTTCCCCAACACCACTTCCTTCCTACTACCTTCTTGAGCCCACGGCTTGTTCTCCAAACCCTTGATCCTTTGAGTCACCCTCCTATGGACACATTCCATCTTAAACATCTCCCTTCCATTGCAATGTCCAGAATTGGACACAGTATTCCAGGTGTGGTGTGACTTGAGGCAGAATACAGCATGGGGAGCATGACTTCCGTGGAGATAGACACTAGGCTCCTATTAATGCAGGCCAAAATCCCATTGGCTTTTTTAGCTGCCTCATCACATTGTTGACTCATGTCCATGAGGACTCCAGGACCTTTCCACACACCCTGCTGTCAAGCCAGGCCTCGTCCCCCATTCTGTCTCTTTGCATTTGAGATTTTTCTGCCTAAGTAGAAGATCTTGCAGTAGTCGCCGTTGAACTACATTTGGTTCATTTTGGCCAATCGTCTCTCTAATCTGTGAAGATCGTTTTGAATTCTGTTCCTGTCTTCTGGAGTATTAGCTATCCCTCCCGATTTGGTGACGCCCGCAAACGTGATGATCACGCCTTCTAAGCCTTCATCTAAGTCAGTGGTTCTCAACCTGTGGGTCCCCAGGTGTTTTGACCTAAAAGTCCCAGAAATCCCAGCTCCGTTTGAGCGGTGATGGCACGATCGTCAGCGTAGATGAAAGTAAAGATGAAGTAGTTTGGCCACATAATGAGAAGACAGGAAAGCTTGGAGAAGAGAATGATGCTGGGGAATCCCAGCCACTTTACCACCCCAAAACAACAACAACAGTGGTTTGCTATAGGCAGATGGTCCATCTCACAGAAGGCCACTAGCAGTGGTTCCCAAACTTCGGGCCTCCAGGTGTTTTTGGACTTCAGCTCCCACAATTCCTAACAGCTGGTAAGATGGTTGGGATTTCTGGGAGTTGAAGTCCAAAACACCTGGAGGGCCAAAAGTTGGGAACCTCTGGAAAGGAACTGTGGAACGGGAAAGTAGAGGAGAGAACCTTGCCTCAAAGGTAGAGCACCTGCTTTACATGCAGAAGCTTGCAGTTTGAATCCCCATAATCTCCAGTTAAAAGGAGTGATGGGCAAGCACTTTATACACCTGTCAACTTGGAGAAGTTTCTGCCAATCAGAACAGATCAATCTGTGAGTTCTCAACATGTTTTGGCCTTCAACTCACAGAAATCCTAACAGCTGGTAAACTGGTTGGGATTCCCCAGCATCATTCTCTTCCTCAAGCTTTCTTGTTGCCATCTTTGCTTTCATCTACACTGACGATCATGCCATCACCACTCAAACAGAGAGTTTTGAAATGGCTGATCAGAATCTCTCCGCAACCTTTGGTCAGTGGTTCCCAATCTGTGGGTTCTCAACATGTTTTGGCCTTCAACTCCCAAAAATCCTAACAGCTGGTAAACTGGTTGGGATTCCCCAGCATCATTCTCTTCTCCAAGCTTTCCTGTGGCCATCTTTACTTTCATCTATGCTGACGATCATGCCATCACCACTCAAACAGAGAGTTTTGAAATGGTTGATCAGAAGCTCTCCACAACTTTGGGTCAGTGGTTCTCAACCTCTGGGTTCCCAGATGTTTTGGCCTTCAACTCCCAAAAATCCTAACTGCTGGTAAACTGGTTGGGATTCCCCAGCATCATTCCCTTCTCCAAGCTTTCCTGTGTCCATCTTTGCTTTCATCTACGCTGACGATCATGCCATCACCACTCAGAGTTTTGAAATGGTTGATCTGAAGCTCTCAGAAGCTTTAGATCAGCGGTTCTCAACCTGTGGGTCCCCAGATATTTTGGCCTTCCAACATCTGGTAAACTGGTTGGGATTCCCCAGCATCATTCTCTTCTCCAACCTTTCCTGTGGCCATCTTTACTTTCATCTACACTGATGATCATGCCATCACCACTCAAACAGAGTTTTGAAATGGTTGAACAGAAGCTCTCAGAAGCTTTAGTTCAGTGGTTCTCCACCTGTGGGTCCCTAGATGTTTTGGCCTTCAACTCCCAGAAAAACTAGCTGGGATTTCTGGGAGTTGTAGGTCAAAACACCTGGGGACCCACAGGTGGAGAACCAATGGAATAGATACTAGAGGGCTAAGTGTGTAAACAATTTGAGCAGCATAAGGTTGAAAAATTCACACTACACACCCAAGGGGATCAACTTGATCTCAACAATGGGATCAATGGTTAGCAACACCAAATCAAATCCATCTTCAATGACAACATGGCTTGTAGTATCCCATCAGCCCCAATTAAACCTTCATGCTCACGTAACACAGGGAAAGGGACAACAAGAACAGAAAGTGAGGCTTGTGGGGTCCTCTTAGTGATCGGCTTCGGTGAGAATTTACTGCACTAGAACCAATGGAGTGATACACAAAATCCAGTCGCTTTCCGATTCCAAACCAGCAAATTCAAGCAAATCCCATGGTTTCAAACAACGAAGAAAGGGAAGGATTAGGGAAAGGAACCAAGTGACCAATCGGATGGCAAAACAACCAAAATGGGGTGGTTATAAACCTCAAACCATCCCTGGCTTGGAAGTGAGGCATCGTAGCAGGAAGAAGAACTCTTGGGATGGGGCAAGGAAACGGGACACAACCAGAACCGGAGTTTGAAAGTTCTCGAATGCTAAACACGGCATCTTCTGGCCAAATTCACCTACAAAGACCTCAAACGACGACAACAAATTTCCAAACAAACAAATAAACAAAACCAAACCAAAAAGAAAAGAAGGGTACACTGGCGTTGCAGGACACCATCGAGGAAGCGATGGATTGGAAGGACAATGCGAGTTCTCTCTGATTTGTTGTTTTCGTTTGTTCGTTCGTTCGTTCTTTTGGGTTTTGTTCTTGTATTTACATATGTACAGAAGTCCACCAAGAAAATGGTAACCACAGTGCGACGCCGCGGGTGCCTGGCATCCGGGACGGGGATGAATTGTGCATTCTCTGTGTGCCGGACGGACACAACTCAGGGGGGAAGAAAAGGAAGTCCTAAAGCAGCATCCATCGAAGACGTGGGAACGGGCCGAGGTCCCCTCGGGACAGAGGGCAAAGGGCAAGTTCTGTGACCTCTCATCAGTCTCGGGGGGCCTCAGAGGTGCCTCGGGCTCGGGTGCCCGTTGTGGTACAGCTTCTGTTTGATGTGCACCATGTTCCCAGTGGCTTCGTCGTATTGCCGGTGGTGACGTTTCCTGAACTCCTTGAAGTTACAAAATTTTGGAAGCCAAGACCAAGTATTGTCTGGAAAAAAGAAAAGAACACAGAGCTCTTAGGACAGTGCTTCTCTCTCTCTCTCTTTTTGTTTTGCTTTTCTTTCTTTTCTTTTCTTTAATATTTTTATTTGAGAAAAGCACATACAGTTCTTTAAACATACATTATACATTTCACTCTCTTTTATTTACATTCACCCCTGTGCTCCCCGTCCTTCTCCAGAGCCATCTCTTTTCCTAAAGTCCCACCAAAATATCATTTCGTCATTTGGAGGTAAATTCCCATCTTCCTTTTCCAATAATTTTTCTAGAAACTTTCTCCAGATATATTGTCGAAGGCTTTCGTGGCCGGAATCACTGGGTTGTTGTAGGTTTTTCCGGGCTATATGGCCATGTTCTGGAGGCAATTTTTCTCCTGACGTTTCGCCTGCATCTCTGGCAAGCATCCTCAGAGGTAGTGAGGTCTGTTGGAAGTAGGAAAAATGGGTTTATATATCTGTGGAGTGACCAGGGTGAGACAAAGGACTTTTGTCTGCTGGGGCTAGCTGTGAATGTTTCAGCTGCTGGGGCTAGCTGTGAATGTTTCAGCTGATCACCTTGATTTGCATTCAATGGCTTGGAAGCCTGGGGGGAATCTTTTGTTGAGAGTGATTTTATGTGCCTGTTTGTTTCCCCTCTGTTGTTTTGCTGTTGTAATTTTTGAGTTTTTTTAATACTGGTAGCCAGATTTTGTTCATTTTCATGGTTTCTTCCTTTCTGTTGAAATTGTCCACATGAAATTGTCCACATGAAAGGCACTGCAGATTACTCCAACCAGAGAAATCAGCCATAGCAGAGCACCTGATGAACCAACCTGGACACAGCATATTATTTGAGAACACAGAAATGCTGGACCACTCTCACAACCACCATGTCAGACTACACAGAGAAGCCATTGAAATCCACAAGCATGTGGACAATTTCAACAGAAAGGAAACCATGAAAATGAACAAAATCTGGCTACCAGTATTAAAAAACTCAAAAATTACAACAGCAAAACAACAGAGGGGAAACAAACAGGAACATAAAATCACTCTCAACAAGGGATTCCCCCCGAGCACTTCCAAGCCATTGAATGCAAAGCAAGGTGATCAGCTGAAACATTCACAGCTAGCCCCAGCAGACAAGAGTCCTTTGTCCCACCCTGGTCATTCCACAGATATATAAACCCATTTTTCCTACTTCCAACAGACCTCACTACCTCTGAGGATGCTTGCCATAGATGCAGGCGAAACGTCAGGAGAAAAATTGCCTCCAGAACATGGCCATATAGCCCGGAAAAACCTACAACAACCCAGTTTCTCCAGATACTTTCAAAGTCATTTTTGTAACATAATCCCGTCTTTACTTTTAAGTTTGATGTTAGCTTATTGTTCAATGCCATTTTCCAGATTTCTTTACACCTTTCATTAATCTGTATTTTCATTGCTCCTTTCCAATATTTTGCAATTAATAGTCTAGCTGCTGTTAATAGCATATCTATTAAGTTTTTTCCCATCTTATCTTTCCCATCCTCTTTTTTAACTAACAGTAATATTTCTACTGGAGTCCTCCTAATTTTTATATCCATAATATCACTGTTCTACAAATTTTCAGTTTTTCTCAGTTATGGAAACGAAATGTGCTGTTTCTTAATACATTTAACATGCTGAATTCAAATATAATAATTAAATGTGTTAATTGGCTCTGGTTTCTATGCAACAGATATTTCAATTTTCTCCACAATAGGTAATTCGTTAATATTATGATAATGCGCCTAACCTTACTGCATGTAGATAAACCGTGAATATTTACTAAATTTTAGTCAAATTATATTGCCAATAGTTTATACATGAGAAATATTTATTGAATTCGTCTATTGTTTATGTTTGTGCAGCAAGAAACTATATTAGTAGGTCTAATGCAGTTGAAAAGTCTGAAAGTTTAAATATCGCTTTCATTGTGACTTTAGTTTCTATCCTGTTTGCTTCTCTGGACTTTTCTTTTGTATTCAAGGAAAGGATTCCCTCTTGCAATGCTCCAGCAGGAGTCTGACAGCATGGACGGAGTCCATTGGCCTTGATATCTTTTCTCCATCGTGCTTTATTGACACACGTGCGAGGAGGCAGAACTACAGTACAAAGAACAATGTAAAACGAGGTTTAACGATACTGTCTCAGTCTTTTTTTTTTTTAATAAATTTTTTATTGATTATCACTTTATTACATACTATTACATTTTGTACATCAACCTC